TTCTCTTTCTCTCTCTCTCTTTCTTTCTTTTTAATTTTCACATTAATTTTGTTGTAAGGAAGAATTAGAACCAATAGGAGGACCCACCAGAAAGAGGAAACAAAAAACAACAGAAGAAAAAAATAGCAAACAGTATGCTTCAGTCTGCATTCAAACTCCACAGTTCTTTCTTTGGATGTGGATAGCATTTTCCATCATGAGACCTTTGGAGATGTCTTAGATCCTTGTCTTGTTGAGAAGGGCTAAGTCTGTCAAAGTTGATCGTCTCACAATGTGGCTATTACTGTGTACAACGTTCTCCTGGTTCTGCTCACTTCACTCAGCATCAGTCCATACAAGTCTTTCCAGGTTTTTCTGAAGTCTGCGTGCTCATCATTTCTTATAGCACAATAGTACTCCATTACATTTACATACCACAACTTGCTCAGCCATTCCCCAATTGATGGGCATGCCCTCAACTTCCAGTTCTTTGCCACCACAAAAAGAGCTGCTATATATATTTTTGCATGTGTGAGTCCTTTTCCTGTTTTTATGATGTCTTGGGGATACAGCCCTAGAAGCAGTATTGCTAGGTCAAAGGGTATGCACAGTTTTATAGCCCTTTGGGCATAGTTCTAAATTGCTCTCCAGAATGGTTGGATCATTTCACAACTCCACCAACAATGTATTAGTGTTCCAATTTTCCCACATCTTCTCCAACATTTATCATTTTCCTGTTTTGTCATGTTGGCCAATCTGATAGGTGTGATGTGGTACCTCAGAGTTATTTTGATTTGCATTTCTTTAATCAGTCTGAGGTCCCTTTTCATCCCACATCTGTGAGATTCTCTGACCTCACTCCTAGTGCCCTTCCTAGTGGGCTGTGGGCCCAGCTCTTTGTCACACTGGTCAATGGAGTGTGCCAAATTGGGACTCTTCATCCAAGGACATAAGTGGGAGGTTGGCCCAGGGCCCCAAGGTGAGCTTCAGGTCTGCCTGCCTCCAGCTGTGGTGGCCAGATGTGGTTCAGGTAGAAGGACCCAGACCAGGAGTTCTGGTATCCCTGGCTGGGGCGGAGCCCTGCTCCAGGAAGGTCATAGAATCAGTCTCTTGTTGGGTTTTAAGGAGGAGGCAGCTGAGGCCCCAAGATGAGCCTGGTGAGTGTCCAAGCAGGGACCACCAGCCTGCCAGCCTGCCCTGCTCTCTGCTTGCTGGGGCTGTTCTTTCTCACACCAGCTCTTCCCTCAACCTCCAGGAAATGAGTGGGAGGGGTGGGGAGAATGCCTTCTGCTGCTGCCCAGCTGCCCACTCTCTTCAGCCTCTTGTCCCTCTCTCGGCCTCACCTGGGCACAGCTCCAGCCTCCTCACCCTGTCCCTGCTCCTGTCTCTTCTTCCACCCAACCTCTTCTTGGAGGTTCAGCTTCCCCATCTGTGCAGTGGGCGCAATCACCACTGGGGTGAAGGCACGTGAAAGGACTTTGTGTACTGAGGAGGGAGCCCTGCGCCTGCCTGTCATCCTCATGGCTTGGATCTAGAGGCTCACATCATAGAGCAGGGTGCCCTTTGCGTCTGCATATGGGTTAGCCAGGAACTTCAGGAAGGAACCTTGCAAAGAGAGCCAAGCCATTGGCAGGGAGGCAGCACCCACAGGGATGCCGCCCCCTCACTGCCAGACTTCGGGGTTCCATTAATTTCTCCAAGAGTGTGCTGGCCTCCTCTGGTCCGGGGGTCAGTGACTGATCTATTGACTCCCTTCCTGACAGAGCCTTGAAGCTTACAGGTCACCACTCCTGGCTCCTATAAATCTTGATCAAAAGCTGGAAGGTGGCGTCCTTTCTTTGTCTGGTCTGGCGGTGGTGTCCTTCCCTGTCCTGGGAGAGCCACTGGAACTCAATAAGGGAGGGACCCTTCTTACCTCTGGGGAAGCTGCTTTGGTTTCTCCAGGAAGGGAGAGAGAGAGAGAGAGAGAGAGAGAGAGAGAGAGAGAGAGAGAGAGAGAGTGTGTGTGTGTGTGTGTGTGTGTGTGTGTGTGTGTGTGTGTGTGTGTGTGTGTGTGTGTGTGTGTGTGTTTGTGCTCAACAAGGAAATGTGGGGTGGGGGGCATTTTCCTCATGCTCATGTTCTTACGGAAGGCTTTGTAAAACAGGGTCTTAGCTTCTCTACCTCTCATCTCAGTCTGCGTGAAAAGAGGCAAGGCATATAGAACCAGAGAGGTGACCATCCCTCTCTGTCCTCTGCTCTCATCAGACCTTACCTGGAGGATTGTGGTCGGTTCTGGACAACCTAACTTAATGAGGACATTGAGAGACCAGAAACCAGCCAGAGGAGGCTAGCAGAGAGGGGGAAGGGCCCAGAGTTTATGCTATGTGAAAATTATTTGAAGGGACTGGGAAGGGTTAGCCTGGAGGAGGGAAAACAGGAGGCCTTAAGCATTCTATTGGGCTATCCTGTGGAAGAGGGGTCCTTGTACTTGACTTCAGAGGGCTGAAGCAGGACAGTGGCCACATGGGCTGCTGAATTGGCCCAGGGAATGGCAGTCCATCCTCCATTTGACCACCACAGTGATATTACTGAAGACAAACTGAGGCTTGTCAGGAGGAACATTCTACTAATGAGAACCATCCCATGATGGCATGGGCTGCCTTGAGAGGTGGTAAGCATCCCCTCCTTGGAGGTCTGGGAACAGAGACTGGATGGCCGCTTGCTGACATGTGGGGATTCCTGCCAGGTGTGGGTTGGACTGGACATTGCTGAGCTCCCTTCTGTCCGCCAAATCCCAGTTCTGTGCATCATTTGGAGAGAGCCAGGGCCAAAGAAGCACAGGAGACATGACCGCAAGATATAGGCATAGATGGAGGTGGATCCTTTTCTAATTGGCTGCTTCTCAGCTCCTTCCAGGCTTTAGCGCCCTTGTTCTCAAGAATCCCCTCTTTCCTTATCACATTAGGAAGGGCCTGGCCTCTCTTCTAAGTCCTTGTATCCCAGGCACCTTGCACAGCTCAGGCTTACATGTTTCTGCAATGTTTCTCCAAGGGCTGTTTACAAAAGTCAGGCCCAAGGTTTTCCTAGAAGACCCTCTTGGGATTATCCATTTAGAGACAGAATGGAGAGGTCATCTAATCTAATCCACTCACTTGAGAGTTGAGGAATCTGAGGCCTGACGAGGTTAAAACCATGATCCCAGTTGTGGGCCACAAGAGTACCCACATGAGCCACACTGTGAGAACTACCCCTCGTTCTCCCTTTGTTTCTAGCAGACAGACCTACCAGCTCTTCCCTCATGGCCTGCAGGTTGTCTTCCACTTCATCTTGAACCTCTGAACAAATGGTTCCCTCCTCTCCCGTCTGGTGCATCCTCCCTCCTCATCTCCATCCGGCTTCCCTTCGAAGCATGATTCTACCGTCACCTCCTTCACAAGGCCTTTTCTGAAATGGCCTTGAAGCGTGTATCACCACCTGCTTTTGGCAGTTTCCTTGTGGGCCATCTTATTTATGTTCCATAACCTTGTGGTGGAAGGTGAGCTTCTTTAGGATGAGGATTGTTTCATTTTTGTCTTTAAGTCACCAGCGACTCATAGTTCATGTGTTAGGAACCATTTATTAAAATGGTTGTTGAATTGAATTTTAAAAAAAGTCAGGCATGTGCTGAGTGGCATAGGACGCTCAGAAGGCAGACTTTGACAGGAGTGTGTTGGCACGGCTGCGGGAGAATAAGAGAAACCAGCAGGACAGCATCTTTCGCTGGGTGTCGGACACCACCTGAACATGGTGGAGGTGGCCACTGGCCTCCCCTAGGCAGTGGCAATACATCCGCCATTCAGCCCCCACAGTGAAATTCCTAAAGTCACCCCCTTACTCATCAAACCTCAGGGGCTCCCCATCACCTCCAGGATTAAAAACAAAATGCTCCTTTGTGACCTGGCTTCGGCCTACCTTTCGGGTCGTCTTCTTTTTGTTTTTTTTTTTTAATTAATTTATTTTGAATGATCAACAATCATTTCCATAAGCTTTTGAGTTTTAAATTTTTCTCCCCTTCCCTCCCCACCTCCCTCCCCACATATGCATTCCTGTTAAACCTTTCTGGCCTTCTTAAACTTCATCCTCTGACGTGTCCTCTTCAGTCTGGTGACACTGGCCTTCTGACTGTCCCACCAACAAACCTTCCCTCTCTTGGCTTTGGGCATTTTCTCTGGCTGTCCCCCACGGCTGCCATGCTCTTCCTCATCTCTGCCTCCCTGCTCCCTCTGAGTCCCAGGCAAAATTCATCTTCTCTTGGAAGCTTTCCCCAGCCCTCCTTAAGTCCGGTGCCTTCCCTTTGTTAATTGTTTCCTGTTTATTCTTTGTACACACTTGCATGTTGTCTCCCCCATTAGACTGGGAGCTCCTCGAGGGCAGGGACTGTCTTTTGCCTCTTTTTGTATTCCCATGGCTTAGCACAGTGCCTGGCACATGGTAGGTGTTTAATAAGTGTGTATTGACCCACTGTCACTATGATTGATGAGGGTGTGTTGATAGCTCAGTGCAGCCCCTGGGGAGGAGGGATGTGAGGAAGAGCTTTCCCAGAGTGCCGCAGGCCCTGGGACCACCCTTGCCCCCCAGGTGGAGGTGGGATGAGCAGATGAGCAATGCTGAGGATGGTGTAATGGACAGTGCTGGATCAGGGCGTCGGGAGTGGACAGGGGTATGGACCTCAGCACCCCTCCATGCACTGACGAACACGGTGTGGCCTTGGGCAAATCTGCTCACCTCTTTGAGAGCTGTGAAAGGGGGCGGTGACGCTTGCCTTTCTCTGCCTCCTGGCACCATTGTGCTTGGCCAACCTCAAGCTTATGGTTCCGGGTTGGACATGAGGGCCCTCTCAGCTTTAGGTCCTGGCACGTTTGTCCTCCTGATGAAGGCACTCATGTAATTCTGGAGTGGGGTCTGAGGCTGGTGGGAAGAGGGGCCAGGGCCACATCCTGACATTTAATCTCTTTTCTTGAGGGGAAGCTTGTTGTAGCTTGACCTGGATTATGTTTCAGAAGCAAGTGCAGACCCAGAGAGAAGGGAGCGAGGAGGGAATCAGCAGCCGGTGGTGATTCTGCTGGGCTGGGGAGGATGCACAGACAAAAACCTGTCCAAGTACAGTGCCATCTACTTCAACAGGGTGAGTGAGTGGCCATCGCTATTTCCTGCCTGCCAGGGAGCCTCGACGGACCCCCCAGGCTCCAGCCTGGCCACTTCTTTCTCCTTTTTGTGCTGGGAAGGTGGGAGCAGGAGCTCATGTCCGTGTGTAGAGAGCATTGATTATGAACCTGTTGTGTACAGGGCCCTGTGCTTGGCACTCTGTGGAGAAAAGAACAGGTCCTGCCTTCAGAGAGCTTTAATGATGGGAGATGGTCCAGACGGCATGCCTGCTAACAGCCAGAGTTCCAAGGGGAGGGTGGGAGCAGCTCTCATCTCAGTTAGGGGTGGGGGGTGGAGAGGGCCACATGAGCTAGTGCCAGAGAGAGAGAGAGAGAGAAGGGCAGGGCTTGTCAGGGAAATGGCCAAGAGCTGGGTTGGCTGGAGGCTAGCGGGAGGAGAGGAGGCAGGAGCCACAGAGTTGGCGGGTTTTGAGAGCCAGGCCAAAGGGTGCTGGGGAGTGGCTGAGGCTGGGCTGGTCTTAGCTCCTCCTTAAAGACACGGGACTTAGAGCCGAGTTCAGGGCAGAAGATCCCTCATCCTCTGCTGAGGGGGCCTCCTGGCCTTGGCGCCATGCTTCTGGGTAGGGAGGCACAGCTTTCCCCTGCTCTCTGCCCTGCCTGGCCTGTTCCCCAGGCTTGGCTGCCTCTGAGCAGCAGCTCACTGGACGAAGGGGTGGCTTTGAAGGGCACACACAAGGTCACCCTGACAGTGTTTCCTGCCACTTGAAATGGCTAAGGACATAACTGTTTGGAGCTTCCTCACCAGGCCTGGTCTGCCTCCGGTGGGGTGAGCTCCCCAACACTTGCTGCTTGACCCTTGTACAGCCCTGAGATTCTAGGATTTTTGTTCTTCTGGGCCTGCTGGTTTCTTCTTTCTCCCAGAGCTTTGTGAAATAGTCTGTGTTTATGATGGTAATGAGGTTTTCTCTCTTCCAAGGCTGGCCAAGCCTCTGCCTCCTTGACCCTGCCCTGTGCTTTTCTCCTGGGTCTTCACCTAATCCAGATGAGGCAATTGGCCCAGAGAGGGGCAGAGGCTAGCTCATAGTAACACAGCTCATCAGTGATAGGGCCTGGGTAGACCTCAGCATTTCTGACCTCCAGTTCCTCATTTGTCTTGGGCAGAGTTTTTCTATGAGTTCCACTGAGACAAGATTGGATTTTTTTTGAAAGGCATTTTTACCAGGAAGCAAACAAATTGATGAGGCCCAAAGATGGAATGTAGAGCCCTTTCCCCAGTCACCACTACACTCCTTTCATGTAGGCCCTGGACCCTCGCTCTCAGCTTGGGAGTGGGGCCTCTGGGCTGCCCTCCTGGTACCTGGCCCTCCTGGGCCCAGCTTTCCTACTGCCCGGCCCTTCTGGTGCCTGGCCCTCCTGGTACCTGGCCCTTCTGGGGCCCGGCCCTCCTGGTGCCCGGCCCTCCTGGGCCCGGCTCTCCTACTGCCCAGCCCTTCTGGTGCCTGGTCTCCTGGTGCCCGGCCCTCCTGGTGCTGGCAGCCTCCCTGCATCTTGACACTGGGCCCAAGCCCATTCACTGGTTGCTTGTTTGCTGCTTCTCATCAGGCCCTGGGCCGGGGACCTCCACTCGTACCTCTTGGGCCAGAGGCAGACTAACCCCATCCCCGTTCATGCTGATCCCCGTCAGATCCATCAAATGACCCCCCCACGAGCTCCTGGTGGCTAAAAGACCCTTCAGGCTTTCCCCTCATTGGGCAGGGCATCGATGACTGACAGGCCCTCAGCCCAGTGAGTCCCTGGCTGGACCTTTCTTGGTTCAGGGATCCCTTGGGAAGTGGCCTTCTCAAATCCCAGCCCTATGTTTTTAGGGAGCAGAATTTCCCACAGCTTCACTAAGTAAAGGACCTGGGTCTCTCTTTCCCTTCCCCTTCTGTCTGTGTCTCATGGGGTCCTGGAAAGGGTGTAGGCTTGGGTGTGTTCTCTGCTGCCTCCCTTCCCCTTCTCTGTCCACACCTCTGCTCAGAATACTTCTTCACCTCTGCTCCCTTCAAGCTTGGCCCAGAGCCCCCTCCTACAGCAGGCCATTCTGATCCCCCAGTCACTGTGCCCCCCCCCAAGTTACCTTGGACGTGGTGTGTCCCCTGATAGAATGGATGCTTCTTGAGGTCAGGGACTCTTCTGTTGAGACAAACAACTTCCCCAGGGCCTGGCACATAGTAGATGCCCAATAAGTGTTTGTGGATTGACTGGGGCACGCCAAGGATTAGGAAGGCTGCTTAAGTAGGTCCTGGGGGTGGGGCTTGCCAGGCTTTGCTGTGTTGGATCTGGAGATGAACCCTATCTAGCCAGAAGTTTCCTGGGAGGCCATAGGGCCTCAGGAGCAGTGCCTTCCTCTCCATTGCTAAGGGTAAGGCAGGCTTCGAATTCCAACTTTTCCTTCTTTGGAGAGAGGGAAATCAAGGTGCAGAATAGAGAAGTGGCTTATCCACAGAAATCTAAACACATCTGACTCACTGAAGGTGGTCTTGTGTAAGTGGTAACAGCAAATTAGTGACCAGGGCAAGATTGGGACCAAGGGTCCCAGGGCCCTGCCTCTTGGACATTTTGAATGGAGGTGAAGGGGGCGGCTCTGCCTTGGCTTCATTCTGCAGCATTCCCCTCTTCCCCAAGATGTGCCCAAGAGAAGGTTCAGGCGTCCTGGAGGCGCTGGGGCCCTCGGAGGATCCCTGTCTGACGCAGTGTGGACACCCTTTCCTTGCATGGTCCCTTTGGCCTGATGCCGCTGTCTGTGGAAGGAGCTTAGGGTTAGGGGATGTCAGGGACCTTGCAGAGTGGGGAGGAGGGAAGGAAAGCTGAGCTGCTCCTTGGGGTCTGATGGTAAAGCAAGAACAGCTACCAGGCTGGAGGGGGGCAGAGGAAGAGAGGAGGAAAGGGAGAAGAAGAGAGGGCGAGAGGAGAGAAGGAAAGAGGCAGAGACAGAGGAGAAAGGAAAGACGGAGGGAGGAGAGAGACACAGAGAGGAAGGAGGGAGAGAGAGAGGGGAAGAGGGAAAAGGAGAGAGAGACAGACACAGAGAGGAGGCAGATAAGAGGGTGCGACCAAGGACCCCAGAAGGAGGAGCCCAGCCTTTGGCCACTGGGTGCTCAGGACAAGGCCGTGTTCAGGGAGCCAGGCTGGCTTCTGGTCTGGCTTCCTCCTGGCTGGGTGAGTTATTGAGGGTAAATATAGAATTCCGTGCTTAGGTGGCCTGAAAGCCGAGCTACATGTGTGAAGGCTAGACAGTAGCTACCCTGTAAAAGATCCAGACGTCTTGATGGGTTGCTTCTCCCATGTGATGGCGGTGAGAGGAGCACTTTGGACCTCAGCTTCAGGCCTATGTCAGGGAGACTTTCTCCAAAAGGAGATCCTAGCAGGCGCCTGGATGGAGAAGGGATTCCCTGGGGAGTCATTTGAGGAAAGGCTGTTGAGCCAGGAGAGTGCTAGAAGGGGGAATGGGAAAGTCCTCTGGAGATCCGTGGAAGGAGTTAGATTGCCCCTCTGTGGGGGGATGGGGAGGAGGCACGGCTCAGTGTAAGGAGCTTAACTGAAGGCTCGTCTCCCGAGAGTTTCTCCAGGATGTGGAAGAGACTGAGCCAGATGACACCAGGTCCCTGGCCCACATGGGCTTTGTGTCTCAGGGGCTTCCCCTGCAAAAAAAAGAACAAACCCCAAACTGGACTGTTGCTGGTGCCTGAAACTTACAAGCTCTGGGAGGACAGACCTACTTCTCATTTTGACTTTCCGTCTGCAAAGAGTGGGCACCTAGTGTTTGCAGAACTGAACTTCTGAAAGGCTTCCTCCCCAGCCTTCTGATATCACAGAGACTCAAACTTACCTCAGTCTCCAGCTTTCTAGGGTCTCTACCCCTCATGGCTCAGTGGGTTAGAGTGAGTCCTTAGCCCCTGGCCAAGTGTGAAGGCCAGCAGTTTGGGGTGGTTGGCTGCATTAGACTGTCTGAGCTGGCCTTTAGCTCCGGGGCTGTGGATTTTGGCCTTCTAGGTCGGCTCCCTCCTGTGGGCGGGTGGGTGGGGCCTTTGCCTCTCCCCCAAGCCTCTCCCCCATTGGGCTCTTGGCTGGTGGAGCAGTGAGCAGAGGCCAAGCTTTGGAGCTGACCTTGTGGGTTGGGGGGGGGGTGTCTGTGCCCCACAGGGATGCATCGTGATCCGCTATACCGCTCCCTGGCAGATGGCCTTCTTCGCAGAGCCCTTCGGCATTCCCTCCCTGCGCAGCCCTGCCAAGAAACTTCTGGAATTGCTCTTTGACTATGAGATTGAGAAGAAGCCCCTCCTCTTCCATGTGTTCAGCAACGGTGGGGTCATGCTGTACCGCTACGTCATCGACCTGATCCACACGCACCGCCAGTTCAGCCACCTCCGGGTGGTGGGCACCATCTTTGACAGCGCCCCTGGCAACAGCAACTTGGTGGGGGCCGTGCGGGCCCTCTCCACCATCCTGGACAACGAGCGGCCGGTGCTGCGCATCTTCCTCCTCCTCACCTTTGCCTTGGCGGCCATCCTTGTGCGGCTGCTGCTCACCCCGGTCACCGCCATCTTCCATGTCAACTACTATGAGGCGCTCATGAAGCAGTCATCACGCTGGCCCGAGCTCTACCTCTACTCCAAGGCCGACCGAATCATCCGGGCCTGTGACATTGAGCACATGGTGGTGGCCCGGCTGGAGCAGCAGGTGCTGGTGCGGGCCGTGGACTTCTCGGCCTCGGCCCACGTCAGCCACCTGCGGGACTACCCCACCTACTATACCAGCCTCTGCCTCTCGTTCCTGTACAATTGTGTGCATATGTGAGGGCTCCCCTTGGGTGCCCCCCTGCCCTTTCTGCCCAGAAATAAAAGTCAGCTCCCCCTCCAGCCTGGACTCTGCCTCTCCGGACCCCTGTGCTCTTCTCCGCCCTGGGTGCCAGCCAGGCTTTGGCCGGCATCAGCGGCCCACTCAGGGGCAGGAGGTTCACGGAGCACCTTCCTCCCTTTTCCTTGGCTGTCCCCCAGCCCCAGGGGGTGGCAGTGAGCACAGGCTGGGGAGAGGGCCTAGGGTCAGGCCTTCTGGTCAGGCTATTGACCAGACTCCCCCAGCTGCTTCTCCCACTCCAGCAGGAGGAAAGTGCACAGATGAAGACCAGAGGCAGGCTTTGGGGATGATGGCAGCTGCACCTGGGTAGGGCCTTGGGCCAGTCCAAGCTTGCAGAACCGGTGGGGGACACTGGCTGGCATTTCCTCACTCCAAGCCTCTCTGACTCGGTTTTGGCTTCCAGCCGTAAAGGCGGCCTGGAGTTGTAGCCCAGTGGCTTGGGGGATGGGCTAGTGCTGGCTTGTGGACCCCTGCCCACTAAGCCTGACCCAAGTAGGGAAAGGCTGTCCCAGAGGCATGTGGGACTCAGGCCTGGGAGGCCGTGGGTGCTGGCCAGGCTTTAGGGGGGAACCTCCTTCACTGATACTTGCCAGACCACTCAAGGGGCCTTTCTCCCTTCCACTGCTTTACTCCACAGTGAGCTGCAGTTTGGAGTTCAGTAATCTTGAATCTGTGCCTGACCCAGTGTTGGTCATAAAGAGCTCCGGAGTGCTCAGAACGGGACCAGAACCCCCTCTCTCACATCCTATCTTTGATGGCAGCTGCCCCCTTCCCTAGGCGGCCTCTTCCACAACTCTTGTTAGGGCCTTTCTCCTGACATCTAGCCTCACTTTGTCTCTTCATCCACCCACTGCCTCGTGGCCTCTCCAGGCCCTAAGGCAGGGACCCTGTCTCCCCCCTCCCCACCCCTTTAGGCCTCTTCCCAGGAGTCAGTTGATTCTCACGGGGCCTGAGCTCAGGGCTCTTCCCAGCCTGTGCTCCAGCCCATCCATATCCTTCCTCACCCGTGATGTCCAGGGCTGGGCACATCCTGCAGACCTAGCCTGCCCAGGTCACCACAGTCATCGCCTCTAGTGGGGATGCAGCCCTGTGCTTTTCTCAGCTGCTGTGTCAGCTCACCGAGCTGGCAGCCCTCTAACCCCTCAAGTCTGATCAGACAAACACGCCTTCTTGTCTTGGACTTAATGAACCCAGGTGTAAGACTTTCCATTTCTCCTTAGGAATTTCTAACTAGATTTGGTCCAGTACTGTAGTCCTGGCAGGGTGTTCTTGCACCCTGTCATCCTTCCAGTATGATCTCTCCCTTCTTCCCAGTTCTGTGTCACTTGCAGATTTGATGAAAATGTTATCCTTTATGTTATGCCTTTAACAACTCAGGGTCCTGAGATCCCTGGGGCCCTCCACTGGAGACCTTCCAAGGTGCCATTTGGGTGTGGCCAGCCACCATATATGAGGGGGGAAGGAGGGTGAGCAGCTCCGAGGGAGATGTCAGCATCGTGTGGGGTAGGGGAAAGAACAAAGATATGAATTCTAGTCATTGCTGTGTGATGTTGGGGGAATCTGGAACCCACTTCAGCCTCTTTCCACATCAGTAAAAGGAGGGGTCTGGGTGGCCATGCTAGGGTCCGGGAAGTGAGCCAGCCCTCTAGCATCCCTTGACCTGGAGTTTCTAGTTCCACATTCTAGCTCCCTCTCCAGACTGTGCTGCTGCCTCTGCCCTGGTGTTGTTCCTACATGTGGCCAACAGGTGGCAGTGCTGCCCAATGCACGTTTGCCTAGGCTGGAGTCCTGGGGAGCTGGGGGGTCAGTCTGGGCTGAGGATTGGTTCTGTAGCAGGTGTGGGTGTGGGTGTGGGTACCTTTTGGGCCTTCGCCTCCCCACATACATACACTGTGGAATAAGGCCTCATGTCCCGCAGCATCCAGGGCCTAGACTTGGGGTAGCAGTTCTTCAGCCCTGGTACAAGGCAGGAGAAGATGGCAGTCCCATTGGGAGGGCAGCATCAGCTCCCAGCCCAAACCACAGGACAGGCGGAGGAACTGGGGCTGGGGGGAGTGGGTATTGGGAGAGGAAAGAAGATCCCCATTGACACCCATTCATCTTTAGCGGGGTGGAAAGGCCCTATTCAGCCTCTTACAGATAGGGAAACAGCTGAGGCCCAGAAAACAAGAGACTTGCCCAAAGTCATGGATAGGGTGCCTGCCGTAGGTTCCCTGCCAAGAAACGGGGCAGAGAAGGGATAGTTGGGGGGCTGAGGGAGAGGGACTGGGGTCCTATATGAAGCAGCTAGAATGATCCCAGCTCCAAGGTCATGGGCATCACTCTCAGGGGTTGCTGAGAAGGTGGAGGGCCCATCTTGGGTCCAAGGAGCCTCTGTCCACCTAAATCCATACCATGGAAGGAAAGGCTTTGCCAGAGTGCATCCCCCATTGTTGGGGGGGTGATGAATGAGATCTCAGGCTGGAGCTGGCACACAAGGTGTGGGTCCCAGCCGAACCATGCCCTGCTCAGCACCCCCTCCCCCCCGAGCACACTGGAGGCACCCAATGCACCAACACGTACCACACAAACCAGACCATCCCCCCCGTCCCACGGGCAGCCCACTGCATTCTGGGATAGCTCAGACATTAAATTCTAATTTGCCTCTTTGCAGCGCCTTCCCTACCTCCTCCCTCGAATTTAATGTGCTCTTCCACACAGCAGCCCTTTAGATCCCTCCTGGGACTTCTGTTCTCCAGTCTACCCAGCCCCAGCTCCTTCAGCTTGTCCTCAGATGGACTGCACTTGAGCCCCTGAATGCAACCACCCTCCAACATTAATTTGGCAAGGAGCCAGAGAAGCCTGAAAGCAGGAGGGCAGGGACAGCTGTGGGGAAGGTCCTCCCCAGAAAGCGCCCTTTGACCAATGCCAGCTCCTTCTGTTGGCACCTTCATTATGGCAGGCAGGGAGAAGTGCCCAGCTCAGAACTCAGAGGACCCTGGGCCAATCCACTACTGTGCCCTTGGGCCAGCACCTGACAAATGGCACGGACAGTCAAGGCTTGTGGCCCTGGCCTGTGAGCCTCTGCTCAGCCACTGAGCAGTCTAAACCCGGCAGTGTGACCACCCCATCGCAGATGCCACAGGGACAGAGCCCAGCGTTATTGCCCCAACTTCATCCCCCTTTATCTGCTGGCCTGGACACCCTGCGTAAGTGGCATAAGCCCGCCTCCGTCACTAGATCTCTGGGGCTTTAGGCCTCCTTGACCCCCAATCTATCTGAGGCTGTTTGTCTTCCTTCTCTCTCTGGCTCAGGTGACCCCTGGTGGCTAAGGTCAGGATCTTCCCATCCATCAGGCTGCTCCCAGGCTTCCACTGACCTCTCACCCCAGACCTGGGCAGTTCAATGGTAATTGGGTTTGGACTTGGCCCAGATGGGAAAGTGGCGCCTGTGACCCTTTGGGGTGTATGTGGAGCCGGATGACTGCAAATGTTTGTTTTTTTGGAGGCAGAGGGCAAAGCTGTGCAGTCCCTGGGGCGAGGCCCTCCCCCCTTGGCTAGTGACCCCATGGCTTCCATCCTACAGACGAGCAAACATGTACAGACTGGGCAAGGAGTTGCCCTGGTCATATATTGGGCTAGTGGCTCTGTAAGGGGCTGTCACATGCCCCTCCCACTGGCCTGGGCTGCCCAGTCAGGAGCATCGTGGGGCACCACTGGGCATTCAGATAACCACACCTGTCATTGGCTTATCAAGTATCCCCTCCCGATGGGAGTCTCTAACACCTCAGAAACTAGACCAAGAGCCCTGAATGCGCTTGGGCCCAGACTTGGCCTCCTCCTCTGAGCTTCTCCCAGACGACACCAGTGCCTAGGAGCAGACTTAGCTCCTGGGCCCTGGCTTGGAGTGAAGAGATGGCCCCAGAGCCTCACTGAGGGAGAGGCTGAGGCTCGGCTAGACATGGGCGTACACTGGTTTAATTCATGTCAAATGTAGTTTACAAACAGGAAGGACAAGTACCTTGGCAGAGGATATACAGACACAGCATCACAGCACAGCGTCCGCGGCAGCCGGCAGGCAGGGGCTGGCAGGCCAGGGCCAGGGCAGTCAGCCCCTCCCCTGTGGAGGGTCACTGCCCCGGAAGGGACTCCCACTCCTTCCTTATAAGCAGCCCTGGTCCCTAGCACTGACCAGTGACCACGTGAGCCCCAGAACAGATAGGGTCAGAGCCCACTCCTCAAGCCGCCGGCCCCTGGGCCGAGTGAAGAACTATACACCACTGAACATGAAACCACCACTGGCAGACACAGGGAACCAGTGTGGGGAAGGGGCTGGGGCTCCCCGAGGGCTGGGGCCTCTACTCCTTGCCTCCTTTAAGAAAGAAGAAAACCTACAACCCAGGGAAGGGTGGGGAGGGGGCAGGGCCAGGGCAGGGAGGGTCCATCCCATCTCTACACAACATTGTAAACATACAGGGTCTATGTTACATGTGCTTGTCTGGCCTGTGTGCAGGTCCATCTGTGTGTCTGCCCAGACCCAGCGCTCCACCCCGCCCAGCTGCAGACACACAGGGGCAGGAGCGGGGACAGAGATGGCCAGGGCTGGGTGGGGCAGGGGCAGGAGGGGGGCTGGGCTGCTCCACACCCTCCACTCTGGCTCCAGAGTCCTGTGTGCACGCCTGTGTACACGTGTGTCTGTCTCTGTGGGTGGTGGGTGAGCAGGGCTGGGGGCGGGCTCACGCCTGGTCCTGGTATCTGGGTTCACAAGTAGATGCGCCGCAGGTCCCCGGGGGCTGTGATGGTGTTACACTGGGGGCACAGCTTCTTGGCTCCCTGGGGGGGGCAGAAAGGACAGTCAATGGTGGAAGCCTTGATACCTTCCTCAGTTGGGCTCCCTGTCTCCACCCCTCCTCTCCCAAGCATATTTTTCTTTTGAGAAGAGCCCCCAGAGACAGAAGCTGAGCTGATCTGCTGGCCATTTTCCCGGCTGGCCTATTCTTGTTGGGGCTGAGCCACCCCCCCCACCCCTACCAAAGTGACACTCATTCCATGGGTCAAGTGCCCGACCGTGTTTCTGGGAGGGAAGCAAACCTCAGGCCTTCCTGTCGGGCTGCAGGAACCCTCCGTGGATCCTTGCTTGCCAGGCCCCCAGAGGCAGGCCGTCATCCTCAAGACTGGCCCAGATACCTTCAAAGGGGGGTTGCCCGTCTGCCGGAGCCTGAGCTAGGTTAGACCTGGGCTCCTGGGTTAGTGATGAACACGGAAAGCCCAGGGGTTGGTGCTGTCTGTCAACTCATGGATAAAGACTTTCCCCTGGTACATTATTTCTGATCTTCCCTTGTGGTGTGGAAATGGAGAAGAGGGAGTAGATGCTGAATAGGCAGTAAGAGTGAGGCAGGGATCGGGGTGGTGGAGATCAGGGGCTGCTCAGGCACTCCTCTCGGAGCTGAAGAACCCAGCAGACTTGGACCAGGACTGTTGGGGGGCATTAGAAAGCCAGGCAAAGTGAAGGCGAGACTGATGCTCCAGGGGAGGTGAGCCAAGGGGGCTTTGGCACAGGTGGCTCTGCACCTTGAGGGGGGGGGACAATGACAACTCCCACAGTGCCTCTTTGGGAAAAAAGCCAAGACTATGACACATGACACAGTGACTGAGAGGCATTGGAGAGACACAGACTGATGAATGCCCAGGTCAGGCCACGAGGGTTGGAAAGGGCAGAGAAGCCAGAACAAAGCCATTGCCACATGGGGGGGGGAGACCAAGGAGGAGGGAAGGTGCTGCCCCGCAGCCTTGGCCAGAGGAGACAGACCTCTGCAGGTGGAAGAGCACAAGTGCCTGCCACAGCATGGTCAAGGGTGGATCTCCGTGCATGATGCCTGTGGCCCCCTAGCCCTTGGATGGATGGCTCCCTATGTCCTCTGGGGGTGGGAAAGGACCAGCTGAAATGAGGTTTTGGCTCCAATACAAGGCCCCCTTTGTGGGAAGGAGCGGGGCTGTAATCAGAACAAGGCAGGCTTGCCAGGCCCAGCTGGGCTGTTAAACCCCACGGGTCCAGCCCCCCACGCTGGCTCAGCGGCCCTAACGAGATCACACGCCTGACTTTGATCAGGCCACAAAGACCCAGTCGCTCCTCTCCAGCTTTTATTGCGGCTTCGGGCTACGTTTTAATGGTCACACAGAACCCGCCTGTGCCTGAGTCGGAGCTGGAGCCTGGGCTGCAGGGCCTGTAATAACCACCGCGTGGTCATGCAGGGAGGGCTGGGCAACAGATGAGCCTCGGCTTCTAACAGCTCCTCCTGCCCGAGCAGTGCTCCGAGCGCCCCACCCCACATGGTGGTGGTGGGGGGAGGGCATGGTGGGTTCAGAAGGTGCGGCTGGAGTGGGACGAGGGGGATGAGCTCCGGGGACAAAGGCTAAGGGGGCATCAGAGGCTCAGGCCAGCAGTCTGTCTGACCAAGGTGTGGGGGGCTTTAGTGGCCTGCAAACTCAGTGGGTCAGCAGTGAGGTGTGACAGCCAGAAGAGCCAATGAGAGCTTGGGCTGCTAATTAAGAGGGGGCAGAGCTTCCAGGCCCATGAAGGTGACCTCCCCTCTGTCCTCTGCCCTGCTCAGACACCCTCTGGGGTCTTCAGGAAGAGGTTGCTGAGCTGGAGTGCATCAAGGGGACGGGCCCAAGATGGGTCTGGAGATGATGTGTGTGAGGGCACTTGGAAGGTGCTGGAGGTATAGACCCTCAGCCCAGAAAGCTCAGCAGCAACACAAGAGAAGGAACTTGAACGGCCATTTCAAATGTGGCCATTTTGGGCCATGACCGGCCCTACGCCTGTCAGGAGGAGGCCAGCAAGGGTCCTGGGGCGGGGTGGAAGCCTACAACGTCACTGCTTCTCGGAGCCCTGTCTCCTCACAGAACTGACCAATCATCAGAACAGACCCATGATGGGCTGGGCTCACCAGAGGGCCCCACGTGGAAGCTGAATGAGCTTGGTAGGAGGCAGGAGACCCAAATCCTGCAGTGCCTCTGCTGGCCCCTGGGCCTGTTTCTAAGCAGGCCTCTGAGATTCTGTGACACTGAGCAGCCGCTAAGGTGTGTCCCAAGCTCGGGGGAGCATCCCTGGGGACAAGATGGAGAAGCAGGGGCTAATCTGGAGTGCCTACTATGTGCCAGGGGCTGTGTGAAGAACTGGGGGACTTGAAAGTAGGCAGCAATAGTCCACTTGGAAGGCGGTCTGGGGAGGGGGGGAGCCCAAGGATCTGCACCATTGAGCATTTTGTCAGTGATGTGGATTAAGTCCTGGGCAGTATGCTCATCATATCTGCAGATGATACCAGCTTGGGAGAGATGGTTAAGATGCTAGTTCTCAGTTCAAATCCAGAAAACTTTGGACAGGCATGGGGCCAAAAAACATTTCAAAGGGATAAATGTAGTCTTAAATCTAGGTACAAAACATCAGGCTTGCACACGAGGACAGGACAGGGGAGGAAAGGCTAGAACGCCATCTGTGTGGAAGAGACTGGGGGATGACAAGGCATTAACTGCAAGGCCAAGGGCTCAGCTGGGCCTGGCAGCCAACGAGTTCCTGGGAGCTTCAGCTGAGTTATATGTGGCTGGGTATGGAAGCTTTGGCCTCTAACCACCTTGATTCCCCAGGCACAGATGAAATGCTATTAAATGCCAGGCATGGTGTTGGGCACAGAGAATACAAAGATAAAAACTCAACAGGCCCTGCCCCCAAGGAGCTTATGTTCCATTAAGCAGAAAGAACATAAGTGTATATAAAGAATTGAAAATGACGTGTATACAAAATCATTCCTGGGAAGGCAGGTGGGCACTAGCACCTCGCGGATCAGGAGGAGGCTTTTAGGTGGCAAATGAACTGAACCTTGAAGGTAGCTGTGAGGCAGAGGGGAGAAGGAAGGACACTGCAGGCAGAGAGCACAGCTAGTGCAGAGGCATGGCAACGGGAGGTGATGTGTCTCCTATTGAGAGTGGCTGGCGTTGCCTACAGAGCATGGAGTTCATCCTGTCAGCTCTGCAGGAGCCAAACTTTGGAGGCTTTGAATGCTCACCGGACTCGTCTGTGTTTGATCAGAGAGAGAGTAGAGTACCCCGGTGGCATAAAGGAGGTAGGTAGGTGTTGGGGTGCACTTGGGCAGATGTGAGGAGGAAGGACTGGAGAGGCAGAGATCAGGCAGGAGGCAGCTCCTGCAAGCTCAGTGCTGGGGGAAGGGCCGAGCTGGGGGGGTGGCGGTGCACATGACTGGAGGTAAGAGAAAGGGAGGAGCCGAGGACAGCCTGAGGCTGAAGTCTAGGGGACTGGCGATGGCCTGCCACAGAGACATGCGTGTCTGGGGAGAGATCCCGAATCCTGTGTGGACAGGCTGAGCTAGAGAAAGTGCTCCAACTCTCCAGGTCGGTGATCCTGTGATCACCGCTGCCCTGGGGGCATTCAGGGGTATGGGGCTGGGGCACAGAAGAGAGACTGGGGTGGGGGAGGAGGGGGAAATTCTCCATGCCCACAGAAAGCTCTATCTGCACAGAGAGCTGATAAGATCATCCAGAAGAGAGTGTAGAGAGAGGAGAGAAGAGGGTGTGGGGCCAGAGGCCCAGAGAACCGCTATCCACGGGGAGTGGCCCAAGGATGCAGCAAAGGAGACTGAGGAGCGGCCAGAGAGGTTGGAGGAGAACCGTGAGAGCATCCAGGAGAAGAAGGTGACTGAGAGCGTGAGCCCTCAGAGAGGATGAGGCCTGAGAAGAAGCCAGCAGATCTGGCAAAGAAGAGATCCCTGATCACTCTGCAGCAAGAGTTTCGGGCGAGTGGCCCGAGAGGTCAGGAGGCCATGAGCACAGGCAGCTTTTTCTACAGCTGGGCTGTGGAAAGGAGAGACACCCAATGGAGGGGATGGCAGGATTGAGCAAAGGCTTTTTTTTGGGGGGGGAGGGGCCAATCTGGGCACGTTTGTGGGTGGGTGGGAAGGAGCCAGGAGACAGGGTTGAGCCCAGGAATGTGGGTGGTAGGAAATGAGGTCAAGGTCCCAGCACTGAGCTCACCCCCTTCTAGGAGAGAGGGGAGGGAAAGACGGGCACACGATGGAAGGATGGACGAAGGGCTCCGTGAAGTGTCTGCTGCGGTCTCTGCTGCAGGACAGCAAGGGTGGCCAGATGAAATCTGAGGTGCTTGAGTCAGCTCTGGGAGCCACCGGGCTTGACGTGCTTTGTTTTTACATTATAAATGTTTACAGATTACTCTCACTTTGTGAGAGATCTCTCTCTCTTTTTTTTTTGTGGCTAGGCAATGGGGTTAAGTGACTTGCCCAGGGTCACACAGCTGGTAAGTGTTACGTGTCTGAGGCTAGATTTGAACTCAGGTCCTCCTGAATCCAGGGCCGGTGTGCCACCTAGTTGCCCCTGGGAGCCACTGGGCTTAAGAAAGACAATGACAGATCGGAGAGGGTCCAGAGGAAGACGACAGGGGTTGGGGAAAGGCCTGGCGTCCAGGTCAGCTGAGGAAAGGCTGAAGAACCTGAGGACGAGAAGACTGGGGAGTCAGGAGAGAGCTCCTGGCTCTGCCCTCTGGGGCCCTTTAAGAACTTAGTCACAGTGAGAGCTATGAGTGAGAGGCCTCCCTGGGCAGGGGGTAGGCTCCCCCTCCTCTCACACAGAGTTTCTGAGATACTATAGCAGCGTTTTTTCTAACTTAAGAGTCTTGGGGGCCTCACTGATCTTTTACAGATGGGAACACTGAGGGTCCGAGAGGCTAAGTCGGTGGAAATGCTGGCTTTGTGAACCTGGAAGCCTGCAGAGAAAGCCCGGGTTGGACGCCAGGCCTTTAGGAGAGGCAGCAAAGCACAGACTTGGTCCCTGATTCTGTCAGTGTCTGTAGGCACATCCCTCCCCTTCCCTCTCGAGCCTCATCTTATCTATCAGATGTGGGGATTAGAGAAGACAGTCTTTATAGGGCTCCTTCCAGCTGTGCTCCAGGATGGGATGGAGGGCAGCCCACTGCAGCTGCTCAGGCCATGGCTTCCCATCAGCCAGTGGCCCACGGAGCCAGGCTTTGCAGGGCCTGTCAGCAGCACATGGGCTAGCCAGGAGCCCTGGGACTGGGGGTGGGGTGGGGGGGATGGGAGAGCTGGGCGGCTGCTGTTCTCCCCACCTCATTTCTTACCAGGGTCCGGAGCCAGCACTCCTCACAGTGCACGTGCCAACACTGGATTGATGTCAGAGGCATTGTGTAGGAGTCCTGGAGGGTGAGAGAAGAGGGCTAGCGCTCCCATGCCCGGCTCTCCCCACCCGTTCCCTACCCGGGTATAGCACTACCAGATGGAGGCACCCTATCTCTCCTCCTGCCACCCAGCCCTTCTGACTGATCCCGGGCAGGCAGGCCTCTCACCATGCAGATGAGACATTTGTATCGATCCCCACGGGACAGCTGCCGCTCCAGCTCCCGAACACGGGCCTTCAGGGCCTCAAATGTGGTCACAGCTGAGTCCTCCGTGATCCTGTGACAGGGACAGGGTGAAGCACAGGCACAGTCAGGAATCACAGCCAGAACCCCCTTTCCCCACCCACAGAGACCTCCCTCCAGCCCTGGCCCCTGCCCTAGGGCAGGCCCAAACCCAGCGGGGATAGATAGGGGAGGTTCTGGAGCCTGGGCTGCATTTCCCCACCTCCTCGGCATTGTGGGGACTGCTGGCGGCCGAGCCCCCTCTTGGGTTAAGGGGACTAGGCAGAGCTACTGCGCCAGCCAAAGAGCGGACGGATGGGTGGCAGGCTGGGAAGTGCCTGCCCTCCCTGGTGGGCAGTAAACAGCTGCACTATTGATTTAGTTAGTATGACTGTGTTAGCAGAGGCAGAGGGGCAGTCAAGCTCTCATTTATTCCCAGGTTTGGGGCTCCCTGCCCCTCCTGGGCTGCCCACAGGCCAAATCCATGTCCTTCCCAAATCACAGCCACTCTGAAGATCATCCAGTCCTTGCAATCAGTCTCCAGGGAGGGGGAAAGCAAGACCCCTGACCTCCAAACACTTGCCTGGCTCAGCCAGAAACTCACTCTGGTCCCCAAAAGCCCTTGTGTTTATGGGGTCTCAGAAATGTCACCCCCCCATCCTTTTCCTTACACGGATTGACACATGACCTAGGCTTGTGTGCTGGAGTCAGCCCCACTTGGGTCCCCACTCCACAGGGAGGCCCTGGAAGCCTGCCCTCTGATGACAGCCTCTAAACACCAGACCAGGCTCTTCCATTTCCTCCAACACCCAGATCCCATCAGAAAGAAGAATCCTCTGGCCAAAGGGAGAAATGGATGGCTAAATTCAGGCAAAAGGGCTTGTGGCTCTTCCAAGCTAGAGAAGATGTGGCCAGCAGCCAGGAAACCAGGCGCCCCAATAGACCTGTCTGATCTTGTCACCCCTGAGCACCTCCTCTCTGCTAAAGGGTACATGTTCATGGCACACATGGAAGGGCCCCTTCGGGTTACAAAAGCTCCTGTGCAGCAGGGCCGAGCCTTGGTGGACAGCTCTGGGCTCACAGGCCTAGCCCAGGAAGGTGGCCTCCTCTGCAGCCCCAGCTGGGGTCACCCCTCTGCTGCTGGGTGCCAATTACTGTGAAATTAAACTGCTCAGTGCTCCCATGTAAATAACAGGGCCTGACATGGGATTTGTAATTTAAAATGTTAATGACGCTATTTATCCCCAGATTTTGCCCAGGGAGAGAGAGGCAGTGCCATAAATCCTTTGGCCTGTCCTCGGGAGGTGGCAGGTCCTCCCAACCGCGTTTCCCCCTTCACATCTCCCCAGCCCCACCTCCAGGTCCAAGGCAAGGCCTGCTAAGCCTGAATTCTCACCCCTTGGGTAGGAGAATGACAGGAGAATGACTCCTGTGAAGTCCCAGGGCCCCGGAGGAAGGCCCAGCTCCAGGAGAAGGGGAACGGCCCGAGGACTTGATGACGGGAGAACAAGACAGTCCTTTGCTAGGCAGACAGAACTTGAGCCCTGGAGCCTTTGGGTGGGGGAGTCAGGAGTCTGGGGGGCTCTCAGTCAGCTCCCTCTGCCCTCTCTAGGCCCACTTCTCCTCACTACCTCCCAGAGAGAGCAAGATGAAGTGATTTCTTGTATTTTCTGGGCTCTTTCTGGGCACTATTAAGCAGGTGCCTTGCAGGCAAGGGTCCATGGTATTTGTCCCCTCCAAAGAGCTCAGGTAGGGACTTCTGGGGTCACTATTTACCCTTCCCAGATGTCTTCCTGACTCAACTGGCAAGGCTGAATTTCAGCCTGGGCTGGCTTGTTTCCCCCACAATCGAGAGCTAATGGCCCCCCCAAGAGAACAGGTGTCCACAGAGCCCAGCCTGTCAGGTAGAGCTAGGGGCTGCTCCTAGTCTGGGAGAAGGAGCACATGATGGCCTATATCCCATCCTCCAGAGTCCCCAGGCAGTAACAGTGGGGAGGGGGGCTTGCCCCACCTGCCCCCAATCCTTCATCTGGCCCTGGGCCACCACTCTCCCCAAACAAAGGTTCTGTTATTACCACAACCTTTTGCTACACCTTAGCCCCCTCTACTGCTGGGCCAGTGTAACTGCCAGACGGGGCAGATGGCATTGGGCTGCCAGGCCTGGGCACCCTCAGCTTGGCGATGACAGTACTGCATCTGCCTCAGCTGCTGGAGTTCCTCTTTGTGGTTCTGTTAAACCACACCTGTCCCATTTAAGAGACTAGCAAAATTGAGCCCTGAACTGAGGGCAGTCAAGGGTCAGGAGATGTGGAGGCTGCTCTATGACTAGCACCCTCCCCACCCCCCTTGGTCCCCCAGACACCACCTGGCTTACTCTCTAACAGAAGAAGCGGACCGGCCCTGCCCACCCCTCTCCCCCCAGCCTGCTGGAGCTGGGTGTCTGTCTATATGCTTGGTTCTTCCCCTCCCTCCCCCCTCTCCCCTGGGCTGGCTCAGAGCACGGAGCTGGGAGCTGGTTTCTACGGGAACCATGTGAGCAGGATCCCAAAAGGAGGCCCTGGTAGCAGGGCTGGGATGGAGCTGTGCCCACACCTGGCCCCTGGGATGCCCTCTCTGCTGAAACACCAGCTGTGCTCAGTGCCCCTGACCCCCAGGGATGTGGTGGGACCAGCGCTTTGTAAAACTGCCATTTCGGAAGAGAGGAAAAAGCCAAACCCGCAGCAGCATCTCCTGCTCTCAAACCTTCTTAACCCAATGAGCGTTTCGCCCGCTGAAGCATGCCCGGCATGAAGTGTTCTCCAAAGGAGATAATTGCAAGCGGATTGAATGCTTGGCAGCCGACTCAAATCCCAGGTTTCACACACTTGCCTTGCCCACTGGGGGCCCCCGCTGCCTATTATGCACGAGGCAAGGACCGTGGAAATCAAGACTTGTTTTATAAAACATGCCTCCACCCCCTGCACATGCCCACAGACACTACACGCGTGCACACACACCCACCCACACTGGCCTACATCTTGGCTGCCCCGGTCCTCCCGGCCCTGATAGTCTAGGCCCGGCCGCACAGGACAGCCAGTGGCCCCTGGGCCCACCTCCTTCTCTGATTAATGATATTGTCTCCCTGATTTATGACCAGCTCCTCCAGATTAGAGTTCGCTCCCCTCCCCCGACCCCTCCCCAGCCCCCATTCAGAAGGCACAACCACACTCGGCTGGAAATATTAGAGAATTATTAAATAAACATTCATACGTCATGTCTCTTCCCATCCTGAGCTCATCGGCGGCCTGGTCGGCCGTACGGGCCTGTTTGCCTTGCCGCTGACACGGAGCAGCTGGAGTGATTCATGGAGAGGCTGGCTAAAACGTTTCATGTCATATATCATGCTAGCAGCGCTCTCTGCCCCGACCGAGATAAACTGATCAACCACAACGGGCTGGAATGAATTTATGACAACAGAAAATTGAGGAAAACAAATGGGAGGTGACCCAGTGGGCCAGGAAGCCAGACTTGCACGCTGGCCTGCAATCTACTTTGGTGGCAGGAAGCAAAATTGAACATTGGCCCTCGGAATTAAGATGCTGCCTTTTCCCCCCACATGACCCTAGCTCCCACGTGGGGGCCGAACTTAGGCAGCACCTCTGGGGCAACAAGCGGGCACCCAAGCCACCTGCAGCCTCCCCCCGAGCTGCCCCCGGGAGTCACGCAGACCCTGCTGATGGGGGGTGGGGGTGGGCCGCAGCTGCCCCCAGAACCTCAGGGTGACACCAACTTCCGAAAGCACCGTAGGGCTGGGGCACTGCTTCAGGGCACAGAGCTGTGAGCCAGAGCAGCCCTCCCTAACGCTTCGGTTGTGGAGGGTAGACAACCCTTTCGTCATCCCAGGCAGCTCTCTGAAAATGAGACACAAGCCTCATCTCAGGCCCCCAAACCACCGCCGATGAGAGCACTGGGGGGCACTAACAAGGTGCTCCCCTGACCCACACTGGCCACACCAAGGCCAAAAAATTCTAGCTACGAATGACGAAGCCCAACAGTTCTGCCTCAACTTGCCGTGAGCAACACCCGGGACAAGAAAAATGAAACCAATTTAGCTCCCGATTAAGAAACAGAAACTGGAGATGAATCAGCTGCTGTGGCTGGGCTGGGCTGCCATATATCACAGCTCAGCAGTGGGGCTCGCGGGCAGGCACTCCGAGGCTCTCCAGGCCGGGCCGCTTATCAATTCAGTCTGGGCAGCCACAGACAGCTCGCCTGCCCCTCGCTCAGTCCTGGTCCCTCTCCTTCCTCCCCGCCTGCTGCCACCCGCAGGCTCAGCCCAGAGAAGGGCCTCTCTCCACCCCCAGGCCCCCACAGACACTCACTTTTCAATGTCACTGTTCTTGCATGTCTTCTGCATGGCCACCTCCTGCTTGCTGCTCTCACCGTTACTTGTGGAGGGCATCTCTGCCGGCGAAAAAGAAGAAACTTAGTCCCATCCCCAGCCCCGGACGTTTCCAGGGCAGGCTCCCTCCCAATCTGGGCTGCTCCTGAGAGATCAGAGGGAGGACAGATAGCCCAGTCCCCAGAGCAGGGGCGCTAGCTGCTGGACAGCTCCTGACCAGAGTGGATTCCTCTCCCAATCTGGGTTGCCCCAGGAGGCGTGTCCCTAGCCCAAGTGTTAAGACGAAAAGCCAGGTCCCTAGAGCAGGGGTGCGGCTTGCCTTCTGAGGCCTCTCGTCAGGTACCCCTTTGTACTGCCTCAGCCTGTTCCCAGGGTGAGGGGCCCACACAAGAGGGTAGCAGGTGATGGATGCTCTGGGGGGCCCACGCAGCCAATGTCCTTGTGTCCCTCCCCCTGCCCACAGGACCAGAGCTAGGCTCAGCTGCCAGCTCTGCCCCAACTCCTAGTTCAGGACTCACCATCACTGGCCCACTTAGAGAACTCTGGCGTTATCCGAGTACTGGGTGTGCCACCACTGCAAGGGAAGGGGAGAAGCAGTGAGGCCTTTAGGCGGGGGAGTAGGGAGACAGAGATGGGGGCTGCCTCCACGAGGGGGCAGCAGCTGCCTTGACCAGGCCCCCACCCCCACCCCACCCCCCGGCCTAGGAACTTACTTTAGCACGGCTCCCCGAAGGGCCTCTCTCTCTTTGGCTTCACCTGGCTCCTCACCAGTACACGGGATGACATCGGCCTCAGTGTACCTGGACACGGGTTAAGGTAAATGCTGCCCAGTATTAGTCTCACTGGCCTCTGGGTACCCTCCAGATCAGGGCACAGCTATCGACCACACCAGACCCAGTACCACGTTAGGAGATGAGCAAAGAGGACGTCAAATGATGGGTAGGAAGTGACTGGACAGACTTAACTTGGGGAAGGCATGGGGGGGGGGCGGCCTCTTCAAGCATTGTAAGGTTGCGGCATACAAGGTGGTGTCAGTTGGCTTTGCTCGCCACAACTGGACACCTTCACTCCAGGGACAGCGAGGCTCCCCAAGCCCTTTGAATGAGGGCTCCTTTTGTGCAGGGGTTGTGGCTGCTGAGGCCCTGATTTCACGTCACAAGCTCCCAACTGGGGCCACCAGCTAGGTAAACACCAGGGACTGACCAAGCACAGGGCATCCAGCTGGTGTCTTAGCATGCGGGTGGGGGGTGGGATTGGGGGCAGCCCGCATGCCCCTCCCCTCCCAAATCTGTCCCAGAGGATACTGGGGCTTCCCATACTCCAGGGTGTCATCGCCATCCACATCCAGGTCGGCGTCACTGTCTGGATTCTCTTTGCCGCTGCACATGATGAAGCCAGAGCCTGTGGGGAGGCAGATACCATGGTGTGAGAAAGGCAAGGCACCCTACCTGTGCGTGTGTGCATGGTGCGTGCGTGCATGCCTGTAGCTCTTCTTAGAGAAAATCCAGTGATTTGGAATCACTGCTGAACCTGAGTCTTAAGTGACCCCTGACAGACCCCCATGAGGCCCAACTCTTCTGGCCTGACATTCAAGGCCCCTCTTTACCTGCCCTGATCTGCCACACTTCCCTAAAAAGATGTCACAGTGGGCCTTTGCCCACCCACCAGAGTCCAGCTCTATCCCAACATAATTTCTCCCATTCTGAAGCACTGATAGCACACTGCAGCCTGACATGCAAGGGGCTGATAGCCTCCCTTCCCACCAGCTCTGGCCCTGGCCTTGCTTCCAAACAGGGCCCTGCTTTGTCTCTTGGGTCCTCAGAAGTAAAACTGAGGAAGGATTCTGAGAACCTATGAAGAGCAGAGAAAACAGGATGGATAGCCCAGGGCCCTCCCAGGCCTGCCTGGGGCAGGGGGGGTAGAGAGAGAGAGAGAGGGAGAAAAACCCTCCATTGCAATGTTTCCATATCAGCTCCAAACCCTTCATACTCACCGGCCTACCTACTCCTGACTTTCTGAGGGCCAGAAGTGAAGACCAAATGGGTGCTTCTGGCCTTCCCTCTAACTTCACTGAGTTGTGTGCCACCCTGCCTGGAGGGTAGACCTGAGCAGGCTGTGCCCAAACGGGGATGCCCTGCTCTGCCACAGCTGGGCTCACCATGACCCCGGGGGCCCCGCTTCTTGGTTCTGCTGCCAGGTCCCTGCCAGCAGAATCACCAAGCAGCTGCTCAAATATTTGGTGTCTGAACTGTCTGCCATTAATTATTCATCCCTGCCTCGTTCAGACCAGATTCCTGGACAAGAGCAGTCACACACTGATAGGGAGAATGGCCCCAGAGGGATACATGCTCACACCTGCTCCCTCCCCCTTCCCCGTGCCTGGGCACTGGGCCCCACACTCCTGAAGGCCACCGGCCCATGATGGCCATGCCATGCAGGCACCCAGGGCCTTCTCACTCCACAACGCACCATCAGGAGCGAAGAGGCTTTAGGCCACATCATGTCCCTTGGTGGCAGCAGCACCAAGTTTCCACATACCCTCTGTCCTAGGGAAGCCACAGGGCACTTCTCACCATCCACCCACTCTCAGAGAAATGGGTCTTCGAAGAATCAAGATATATACAATGGGCAGATGTCCGACAAAGTTTTGCTGAATGAATGTTTGGATCATGCAGGTCTCCGGGCTGCTCTAGAGATCTGATTACCTGTCAAAGCCCTTTTGGGAGGGAGGGAAGCAGGTGTCTCCCCCCCCCCACTCTAGAACAAAGCAAATAGGCAGCTGGCAGCCGTCTCCACAGGTCCTATGGCTGGCCAGGTGTTCTGAGAAGCAATTTCGGCCTCACCAGTGAGTGGCACCTCCACAAACCCTCTGACAGTTTGGGAGACAAACTCCCCCATCAATCAGGATATACCTATCAGGACGGCTGCAGCCCCCCCCCCCAACCCCAGCACTGTGTACACACAGCTTTCTGGGGGCTGCTGGCCTGACGCTCGCCAAATCAAGTTATTCCTGCTTCTGCCAGGGGCTGCGGAAGCCGAGGGCCACCTTCAGTGAGTGACGAGTGATGAGGTCAACTTCATATCCTCCTGGTGGCTGTTTGCCTGCCGCTGCCCGCTCAGGCGGGGTTACAGGGGTCTCAGTTTCTTGGAAACGATTTAAAATAAATACCCCAAAGGTGTTTAAGAGCCCCAAATCATTAACAAACTCTGCCTCGCCTTTCAAGCACCCCATGGCCTCTCTTCTCCTGAAGCCTGTAAACAAAGCAGCAGAAACAGCCGGCCTGTGGTCCACCCCCGGTTCTCCTGATGGTACAAGGGCTAATCTGAGGGGGTGCACCTGCTCCCTGCTGCTTCAGCCCTCACCAGGACGACTCAGAGAGGCCACAGTGGTCTCCTCAGTGCTCTGTTAGCCTGGCCTCGGTCCCAGCTTCCCTGGCTCAGACTGCAAGCTGGGAAGCTTTAGAAAGATCGACAGACCTGAGTCAGAGACCTCCTTTCAAACCCCAAACTACCAACGACGTGGGCAACCCTGGCTCAGTCCTTTAGGCCCCTGTGGCCTCAGTCTCCTCCTCTGTAAAATGAGTGGGATACAGCAGAAGCTCTCAGGTCTAGGAGCACTAAACTGCTGAGCTGGGTCTTCCATGGGACAGTCCATGGGCTGGCACTTTAGGTGACAGATGGCACTCCCCCCAGCCCTGCCAGGGGATGGTCCCCTCTATTCCCCCAAACATTTTGACAGAATCCTGCCAAGTCTATACAGCCTGATCCCTGGCCTGTTAAACTTTATTTTCTTAATGAAATGTCACTCGCTGACTTCTCACAGCATCCCAATAAAAAGAAATGGTCATAAAGTCATTTTATGCGGATCCCCAGAAGGCCCCCTGGCCTGGAAAGGCCACGAATCTTCTTTTTACCCTCAGCTGTTGAAACATCCCAAAGTAGCATTTGCAGGCAAGACAGCCCTGCTGTGGACTCTGAGGGGCTGCAAGGAAGCTCTGCCCCCAACCTCTGGCCCACTAAGGAGAGATGGGCCAAGGTAAGCCCCTCCCCCAGGCTCCAGGAAAGGTTTGCTACACTTAGCCCATGGACTACTCCTTGGGGCACTGAAGGGTGTCTTCCCCACCTCTGGTCCTCAGATGCTCCAACAGTCAAAGGAGGCAGGAGCTGCTTGCTGACTTCTGTAAGCAAGGGAAGCTCTCTTTGCTGAGCTTAGCCTGGTCAGGTGCTCTGGGGCTCCTCCTCCCTGACACTGAGAGGTAGGAGAACCCCCAGTTGGAGCAGCCTTAGCTGGGACGCTCAGGAGCCGGGCTCAACCCTGGCCCGTGGCAAGACCTGCAAATGAGCAGTGAGCTAGGAGAGGGTCGGTGGGCGCTGAAATGATGATAAGGTCTATATTTCATAAAGTAATCCCCTCTCCTCCAAACTCATTTTGTTCCTGGGCCAGTAAGAAGAAAGTCAGTGTTAATTTAATCAATTGATCAGCACATTGATTGAGAAACCAGAGATGTGTGTGAGCTGGGCAAGGTAAAGTCCTGGAATCTGAGACCACAAAAAAGCCCCCATTGATTTCCTCACCTGCGGCACCAAACACAAGCAGGGGGAGGGCCAGAAGGAGCGGCCCCCGCCCTCCCCTGGGTGTGTGTGTGTGTGTGTGTGTGTGTGTGTGTGTGTGTGTGCGCGCGCGCGCGCTGCTGGAGGACAGGATGGGATGGCAGGGGATGAGGTGGGCTGGGGTGTCTGTTGCAGATGAGTTTCCAGCTGAAATTAGTTACCGATGCCGCTGTGGTGGCTTGTGTAAACGCCATCGATTGGGGCCTGACAGTCCTCGGAGCCGGCCTGGGCGATGCCGGGACAATCAATCGGCCGGCAGTGTCTGTCACCTGCCACTTGGCTGAGCAGTTGACAATGCAATTATCCAGTGTGGAGGCAGGGAGTTGGCGTGTGTCAAACGCAGTTAGCCACTTTCCGGGCACCACTCGATAATGCGTTTCACTGCCTCACTTGCTGGCGCACGTCAGAAGAGACACGGCAGGCGGCGACGTCCAAGCCCACCGATCCCCCAGCCCCTGCTTCCTTCACTGTCCCTGACTCGACAACTGTGTCACTCCAGCAGTGTGAACCCACACTCCACACTGGGGCCAGAAGGCGGGAGGGCTGGCAACGGCCGTGTCCTACTGGAAGAACACACCTCCTCCTCCCAATCCCCAAGCCACTCCTTAGCACTGACAACAAAGGCAGATGCTAGCTGCTTCCGACACCTGCCACCTCCTGTGCCAGACAGCAGGGGAGGCCACCGTGGCCTCTGCCACATGGGCTGGAGGGTGGGGAGCCAGGCTGCCCCTGCTGCCCCAGAGAAGGCAGGTGCCATGCCATCAGGACCCCTCCCCCCGGGCTCAGGCCTCAGGCTTGATAGACCATCTGTCTCCACCAGCCTTTCCCTGGATGAGCCCAGAGTAGCCTTGACTTCCTGTTGTCCTCGAACGAAAGGTGAATGAGGCCTTCGGGCAGGAGCCAGGGACACACACCCCTCCCCTGAGAAGCCAGGCCCTCCGAGGGGCCATTTCCAGGGTGCAGTGAGAAGATGGTTGAAAGCTGCCCAAGCTGGCTCTATTTCCAGACAGACTCCTTCTTTCCTTTTCTGCCCAGCATGGTGACAGGGCTAAGTATAGGCTTCACAATTCATTGGCTGAGAGGACTCGGGATCCTCGGCAGGTCCCTTCCATTTCCTGGCCTGTCTCTTGGGAGATTTCTCCATCTCACTGCTCTGGTACCAGGCGTGAAGGCCAACTCTGTATTGAAATGGGGTCGGCCCATCTCCTCTCTCTTTGGTGTGACCTTAACTGTCAGGGAGCATGGTGGACAGGCAGGCTGCAGTCGCATGAGCCCAGGTCCCTGACCCCACCTCCCAACAAGAGACAAGACCCTTCTGGATTTCACCCTCTCTGCCTCAGCCTCAGAAACAGGGCCAGGCAGCTAAGGGGACACTCCCAGAAAGGAGGTTCTGATGGGTCCTGCTACACCCCCATGGAGTCTAGCCCCCTCACTGTATAGAGGAGGAAACTGAGGCACAGAGTGCGGAAGGAACTCGCCCAAGGTCACCCAGGGAGTCTGTGGCTGAGCCTCAGGCCTTGATGCATTTTACTGCACCGTACAAAATTGCCCTTGGTTTCAGTGACAGCACCTACAAAACCTCCCCCTCACTAGCCCTCCCAGCCCCTATGATGGCAGGGATGTGGTAGGAGGGAACACCTGCTGGCCCCAAGGCCAGACACCAGCTTTTCCTGTGATTACCACTCTCCTGGGCTGGCACCCCACGATTCCAACACATGCCCTCCTCATCAGGTGGGGCCCAAGGAGAGCTTTCTCTATTCGCTTGGAGTCTCTGTGGCTCCTCAGACCAGGCCCTGTGTGGCTCACGGCTCCGTCAGGCTGCACTGGCGACTGCTGCCTCTCCCAGGCCTCCCTCTGCCCTGAAGACTTGCTGCTCCCATGGCAGCAGATGGCTTTCAACACAACTGACGGGCTCAAAAAGAGGAGCTCCCAGAGGGGAGGGGTGGGGGGAAGAGAGGATGAGCACGGAGCAAGAACTGATCCCTGATTCTCCCATGCTGTCCTCTGTCCCTGTCTGCGGCTCTCTCTCTCAAGTCTGCTGGACAGCGTCCTCAAGCTGGCGTTATCACTCCCTCTAACCGGTCTTGGCAGGCAATCTAATTCCTCCTGAAAAGGTCACCGCCATTTTAACTGCCTTTCAATCACATTACGCACGCGGCCGCCAGCCCGGGCTCCCAACCCAAGGCTCGAGGCTCGGCTCATGGAGGGGTGATCGATGCCCTGACATGAGCGTGGCCCTCCACCCCCTAGGACCACGCCCGGGGCCCCCTGGAGCACCCGTCTCTGCAGCGGCCGGCCCTTGGAGGCAACCCTTTCATGGGCCATGGCCGCTCAGGCTCTGGTGGGGCCTCAGAAGCCTCCCCCGTGGCCTGGTGCTATCAGGCTGGCCTCAGAGAGCCCTCTGGGCTCCCCCCTCGCCTGCTTCCTCACCACTGGTTTTGTGTCCTGCTATTGATCCTTGTGTAAAACAGTGTTTCAAGTAGGCTTGCCTTCTGACTGCACTAAGCTGGTTAAGAGATGACAGCAGCTTCTATCGGGGGAAGCGGGCGCGCTTCTCTGTAGATAAAGGAGCCCCCGCCTTTCAAGTCTCACACACAGCCAGGCGCGTTTGCTGAATCTTTCAAAGAACAGCCCCTCTTTAGCCCCCCCCCCAGGAATTCTTTAAAGGGAGAACCTTAAGGAGTAAACATCTGGGGCCAGAAATGCGCAGCTAGTTTGTATTTTTAAAACCACCTCAAAGCGTGCCATGTAGGAGGTGTCCTGGCATGGCGAGGTGTCCACAGCACTCCAAGGGAGAGGATGATGCCAGAATTCCAACTCCCCAGGGCAAGAGCAGCCGCTTGTCCCTTGTAGATGGGAGGCTATATCCTGCGACTCCTCCTTCCCCCCCCCCCGCCTGTGCCAACATGCCTGCGAGAAGATCTACGGAACCCCAAGAGCTGCTCTGCGTAGTGGGGGCTGGGCTCTGGAAAAGCCTCCAAGAATACCCAGGCCAAGATCTGAGATCTACTGAGGGGAAACAGACTGTCCAAGGTCACACAGCATTTAAGGTATAGGGTTGGGGCCTGGCCTTTCCACAGTATCATCCCTTCTCCAGTGGGGTGACAAGAGAGAATGTACTAGCCTTGGAGTCAGGAAGTCTTGGGTTTAAATCTCTCCTCAGACAATTTCTAGCTGTGTGAACCCAGGCAAGTCACTAAGCATCTCTGTGCCTCAGTTTCTCCATCATCAAACAAAGCTTTGATGACCTCTTAAGGCCTTTATGATCCTACGATCCCACTGTACCAGCTTCTCGGCTTAGTGCCTCAGTCTGCCATCTGCAGCATGGGTAGTAACCTCAACAAGAGACTAAGACAAGACCCTTGACCAGACCTGACCCATTTCTCAGCCAGGGGGAGAAAGAATGCCTGGTCCAGCACCTTCCTGGCCTCCCCACTGCTAGGGTTAGAGGGCAACACAGATGAGGCAGTGGTCTCTGACAGAGTTGGAGGGAGCTGGGAAGCAGATGGCCTCCCTCACTGACCAGATGCACTCAGAATTCTCATCTAGCTTCTGGAAATCCCAATTCTGCTTTGTGCCAGACCCTTCCTCCACAGGGATGAGGATCCATGGGGGCCCACCCCCCTTGGGAGACAGCTCGCCTCTCCTAACACAACCTGCTTACCCTGGGGCTGGACCTTCCCTGGCATGCCACTCCCCTGGGGTACACCAAGCCCCGCCCATTCCACAGAGCACTATTCCCCCATGGCTTTCCATAACAGGTGGGAAGTAGGTGGACAAAGGCGGGAGGGGAATGAGCCTCCCCCTCGGGCCTCGAGGAGGCAGCAGTCCCAACGTGGCTGACAACAGATCCTAGTCTCCAAGGACTGGTTCTGCCCCCGGAGATGGCCGAGAAGGCTCAGCCTTGGTCTCCAAGTCAGTGCTGCTTCAATTATGGGGACCCTGTCCCCTAAATCAAGAAATCACCACAGACAGGCCCAAGATCTCTGCCAGGGTCATAATGATATCAACTGCTCCCCTTGGGGTCTCATCCTAGGGTCTTCTGCACCCTGAGATGACCTGGGGGCTATAAGGGGAGAGGAAGCTGTGTGGCTTAGCTCCTTCCTAGGTCAGGCTGAGGGCGCGCAGGGAGAGGGGCTAGGCTTGGAGCTAAAATTACATTCACCAATAAAGCTCACGGGAGGTCAAATTTTGCCATAACTCACTCCTTCCTCTATAACTGATTTCCCTGACAGTGAGAACAAGGAGAAGGAGGGAAACATAAAATGTGTTTGTCTCGGAGCCCTGAGGGCCTGAAGCGCTGGAGGTGTGCAGTGGGTTGCCAGATTCTCATTTATCAACCTTAAAAGGGATGGAGTGATAAATGCATAACCGTCCCTTTAATATTTGATGTGGGCGCTAAGCCGCCTGAGCTGTCACCTTCGATGCATCACCGGGGCTGATCAACCCGCTTCCTGTCGTCACTCCTCCCCCACTGCCGGCCAAGACTGTTAATATGCTCAAAGTGCACCTCCAGCCCCCTCAGAGGCCCTTACCTCGGAAGCCGCCCTCCAGGAGGGTGGTAGCTCGTATCCTCTTCTGCCCACACCACTCATACTCTTCGAAGCGGGTGCTGTTCTCAGTCTCGATGTCCACAGAGTCGTCCTCGGCCACGCAGGAGCCTTCCCTCTGGGGAGGCAGAGCAGGCAGCTGGGGCCCATGGAGCTCCTGGCTTCCCCAGGAAGGCTGCCCAGCAGGGCCAGCTCTCCCTTCTCCCTCCCCCCAGGCCCTGAGGCATGCCACTGGGCAGCAGCCCTGCCCCTCCAGGACATCCAGGTCTGGGCAAAGGGGTGGGGGGAGGGGGAGAGGGAGTGGGGGAGGCCGTGGCACCTCTACCTGGGAAAGGCATTGCTCCACATGCCTACTCATCTCGGGCTCCGATCCTGCCAGGGGGCGGCTGCACAGGGGACATACCTGGCCTTCATCCTGCTTCCGACGCTTCATCTTCCCAATTCGAGCTACACAGAAAAACCAACCACAAGGTTGATGATGCGGTCCCCAGTGACCCTGCATGGAAGCCCACCCAGCTGAGGCCTGAGAGAACTGGTTCTCTGCCTTTCTCCATATCTACCTTCTGCAGCCTCCCCCCCCTCCCAACTCTCTGCAGGGGAGGCTCAAGGCTCTTCAGGGAGCTAGGCTGAGAGAGGCCTGGTCTCCCTCTGCCCACCTAGGCAGACAGTGGCTGCTATCTAGGGGCTCTGCGCCCCAGGAGCTGGGAGTGGAACCCACACCCAGGAGTGAAAGGTGCTGGAGTGCTATGGTGTGCCATGCATTGGGCTGTCTGGGCACACAGTGGGCAAGCTGCTGACTGAAGTTTGTTCCTATCTGGCCTAAGAATTCATACAGTTCAATACTTTCCCCTAGAGACTGAGAGAAGGGCAATGGTTTATGAAATGTTTGCCCACAAACATTATTACCCCCATTTTATGGATGAAGAAACTGAGGCCCTGGGAGACTTTTAAGTGACTTGCCTAAGGTCAAGGAAGGATTCATACCTGGGTCTTGTGATTCTAACCAAGTCTAGTGGTCCTCCCACTGTACTGCGCTGTCTCTACTAAAAGCAACCCCATTTTACAGAGGAATAGACTGAGGCCAAAGGGTCTTAGAGACTGCTCAAAGTCACTCACTTCTGTAGAAGGTTTCTAGCTGTAGCCCAGGTGCATCTTGGGAGTTCTGTGCTCCCCAGAGCACCATCACTTCCAATCATGGAGGAAGGGAGGGAGTGGCCTCTGAGGCAGGGCTGTGGGCCAGTGAGCAGAGCTAATTAATGCTGAAAGACCTATCATTTCTAATTAGTTCACTGATCCCTCCCTTTGTCCTGCTTGCCAAGCCCCAGAGCTTCAGAATTCCAGAAGGCATGGGCAGCACTTGGGGGGGGGTGTTGCTGGGGGGCTCTCTCTCCCAAACCCCACCCTGGCCTGCTTTCTTTTCAGCCTCTCTACTGACAGCTTCCTGGGGAGCCAGGCTCTTCAACGATTATTTCAACCTTCTGCTGGGAGGTGAGGAGTTCACTAATGTTTATTAGCATTAATAATGATGATTAGGCTGTCAGAGGACCCTTGGAGAGCCACCATCCCAGCCTGCCTGCCTTCCCTATTACTGAGGGCTGAGCTACTGGGAGGGGAGGAACACACTTAACCCCTTCCCACCTGGACCCTCTGGCCCAGGCAGGCTGGAGAGGCCCACCTCGGCACCCATGGCAACCGAAGCCCCTACTGGGGTTAGCCCCAGAGCAGCAGCTCTGGTGGGGCCTGGGTGCATCCTGTCCAACTCCCACTTCACAGAGCAGACAGACCCCCTCCCACACAGCCTGAGCCTTCCCCAGGGACACCCCCAGGATGGCAGATGCACGGTGAATGTTCTTCCTAGTCCAGGCTACCTGTTGGCCAACCCAGCTGTGGGAAGCTCCAAAAGCCAGGCCTAGCCAGGCCATCCACGCTCTCAGATGTTTCCCCACCCCAAGCCCTAGAAGTGCTTCTGGCTGTCACTGAGGCTTGCGGGGGCTGAGAGGACTTGCCCAAGGTCACAAAAATAATGAATGACCAAGGTACATCCTGGGTACTCTAAGCCCCCACTCTTTCCACTGCCCTGCAATCCCTGCCAGCACCCCAGGGACTGGGCCTGATGGGAGTCTGGGGCAGAAGAGACCATGTAATGTATAACACCTGCCCAGGAAAAAGGGCAGCCCCATTCTCCCCTCTCCCCTGTAAGGTACCAGCCAAGGCCAAGAGGCTGAGATGCTAGAGGAGACTCCCATTCCCTTCTCCTCCCTTGCCAGAGCTTCCAGGCCCAGGGAGCCCAGGGAGCTTCACCACTCTGCAGGAAGAAAGAACTTATCTCATTCTCCCCAATGCTGGAGCTGCAAGGGACCTTAGAGATTCCTGGTTTAACCTCATTTGACAGATAAGGAAACTGAGGCACTGAGTGATGCACTGACTTGCCTATAATCACACACCTAATTCCAAATTCTGGGCTCCTTCCCTCACAGTCAGGAAGCCACTGAGCCCTGAATCTTGACCTCCAGAGAAACCCTGTGACGTTAACAGCTCTTGTGATCTTGAGGGCCAGAGGGCTGGACATTACAGTCCATGGGACTCAAGAATCGCCCTGCTCATCTGGCATGTGGCCAAAGGTGCCCAAAGAGGTGGTTTGGGCAAAAGAAGCACTGAGCACACAGTGATGTTGGGAGAAGTCAAGAAGGTCGAGCTCCCAGAGAGCTTCTGTGGGCCATCTTTTCAAGTGTCTGAGACTGGGCAGAAAGGTGCCATTCCTTTCTGAGCTCAGCACTGGGGCCAGTGGGCTGCCAACCTCAAGCCAGGAGCCTCATCCCAAAGCCATCATGGCCTGGGATGAAACTGCCAACAGACACTTGGCTTTGGGCAAGACTTGGGGCAGAGAAGATGTGGGGGACAGCTGGGCACAGGGCAGTGGCTCTGGAGAAAGAAGGCATTCTAGCGATCACTCCCACAGCTTTCACAGATGGAAAAACCGAGGTGGCCAGGGAGAGAGTGGCTCTGTTCTTCCCAATCTTGTTCTGCCTCTCACTCTGGGGCTCCCCTGGATAAGCCTGGGGTCCTGGCTGGAGATAGCTCCATGAGGATGGACTGCAGGGAAAGCAGCTAGTAAAAAACCAGGGCACACCAGCTGGAGGGGCAAAAGGGCCTGCCCTGTGGTGATGGGTGTCAGGACACCAGAAGGGAAGGATTCCCAATTCCTCTGCCCTAGAGGTGATATATTTGGGTGGGTGATGCTGGCAGCCGCAGGCCAGCCTTAGGGCTCTTGCCCATGACCTGCATCATGATACCAGGAGGGATAAAGGGACTCCTCGGGAGTGGAAAATGCACTGGCTTTAGAACTGGAGGGTAAGGACTTTGCTATTTATTCCCTATGGGATTTGGGGCAAATCCCTTCATCTCTGTGGGCCTCTGTTTCCTTGTCTGTAAATTGAGGCTATTAGACCTGACTCTAAATCTTTCCTCAGTCCTCTGGTCCTCTTCCTAGGTGGAGGTGTGTGCAGACGAGTCCTATGGACTCCCTGCAGCTGGAGGGCCAACAGCTGAGGCTTGCCTGGGGGCAATGTCCTACCAGTTCACTTTCACTCAAGAAGCTTCAATGACTTCCCTCCCCTGGTGGTTCCAGTCTATCTTTCCACTTGGCTTTGCTGTTTCTTCCCCTCACGTGTCCCACATTCCGGCCAAACTGACCACGTGCTATTCTTCAACATTCTGTCTTGTGCCCCGAGGCCTTTGCCCGGACTCCAACATGCCTTCCCCACATCCAACGGCCTTTTCTCCATCCTTGTGCTTTCTGACTGACTGCTGCAGCCCCTGACACTGGCCAGCACCTGCTCTTCCTTCCTGCTCTCCTCTCTCCAGGCTTCCCTGCCACAGCTCTCTCCTACCCAGCTGACGGATTCTCCTCTAGGTCAAGCCCCTTCTCTTGGGGGTCCCCCAAGACTCTGGCCTGGAACAATCCATGTTCTCTATCTCACTAGGTGCTCTCTTCAGTGCCCACAATTTTACCTATCAACTCTATGGAAGTGATCTCAGGTTTATTTGTCCAGCCCTAATGTCTTTTGTTTTGTTTTTGCTTTTTGGTGAGGCAATCAGGGTTAAGTGACTTGCCCAGGGTCACACAGCTAGTAAATGTCAAGTATCTGAGGTGCATTTGAACTCAGGTCCTCCTGACTCCAAGGCCAGAGTTCTATCCACTGCGCCACCTAGCTGCCCTTAACCTAAGTTTCAGTCTCACATCTCCAACTGCTTATTAGACATTTTGAATTAGATGTTCCACAGACATTTCCAGCTCAACATGTCCCAAAGGGAACTCAAACTCCCCCCCACTCTGTAATTTCCTTATTGCTGGGGATGGGGGGGTACCACTAATCTTCCCAGGCTTACAACCTCAGCATTGTCCTGGACTCCTCACTATTTCTCCCCCCTGCCCACATCTGTTGCCAAGGCCTGCTGATTTCACTTCTATGACAACTCTCGAATACACACCCTTCTCTCCTCCATGGCTGCCACCACTCTGTGCAGGTGCTCATCACATCATGCTCTGAGTGCTGCAATAGCTGCTGTTGGGTCTGCTCGCTTCATGCCTCCCCACTCCAATTTATCCTCCTCTCAGCTGTCAAAGTGATCTTCCTAAAGGGCAGGTCTGACCGTGTCCCTTCCCACCCCCTCCATAAACTTCCGTGGCTCCCTATTACCTCTGGGATCAATACAAGATCTTCTCTTTGGCTTTCAAAGCTCTTCCCACCAGTCTTCTTAAAGCATCCCCCCTTCCCCTCACTCTGTTCCAATGACACTGGGCCTGGCTGTTGCTTGCACAGGCCACACCATCTCCTAACTCCAGGCATCTTCCCTGGCGGTGCCTCCTCTCAGCTGAAACCCCACCTTCTGCAAGAAGCCCTTCCTAATCCCTCTTAATGCTAACACCTTCCCTGGGAGCCTGTCCCTGTGGACACACAGAAGTACACAGCAGTAGCATGCTGTTTTCCCATTAGACTAGAGCTCTGGAAGATCAGGGCTTGATTTTTACCTTTCTTTGCATCTCTAGTGCTTAGCTCAGTACCTGGCACTTAGTAGGTGCTTAATCAATGTTTGTAGACTTGACTGACTTTCGCCACCTGGCACCCCCAGCTCCCTTCATAGTCTGGCTCAGGCACAACTTTCATCCAGCTCCTTGAAACCACCTTGTGGACATTTTGTTTACTTTACACACATACGCCCCTTGTTCCATGGGGAGACTGTAAGCTCTGGGAGGGTAAGGACAGCTTCGTTTATAGCTGGCAGCACCCAGTGTATTTTGTTTTTTAACTTGGATTCATGATGTCACTGGTGTGCAAAGGGATGCCCAGTGAGCAACTTTCCTCAAGTGATGAGTCTTAAGGGCTACTTCAGCCACTAAGAGGGGAAGGGCCTCCCTTGGGTCACTCTAGGGCAGAGACGAGATTTCAACTCAGGTCTTCCCTGGCCTGGAGCCTAGAGTAAGGGAAGGGCTGGTTACCAGCTGGGGCTCCTGAGACTGCCCGGGCTAAGACAAAAAAAAAGGAGCAGGGTGAACTCTCCTTCTCTGCCTCCACCGCAGGAGGTCTGGCTGAAGCTGGGGGTCATGGCCAGGCTGCCTTGGGCCTCTCCCTACTGCCTGTGTCAGAGGCCTGGGGTGAGGGGATTCTAGAATTTTGGGGAGTGGGGAACCACAAGTGTCTGTACCCAACTCCAGCACCCCAAGGGGGAGCAGCTGTGGCCTGCTTGGAGGTGGTCCCCAAAATGTGCTATGGCTCCTTCTTCTTGCCCCAGGGGAAGTGGGAAGGCTCCTGAAAGGAGGATCAGAGGGAAGGTCTGGCTCTTAGCTCTGCACCTTCAGGGAAGGGGATTTAGAGGCAAAAGATTTAAGTAGACATCCTGGCTGTTATGTAGTACCCGGGTGACCTTGGACCAGTCCCTGCACTTACGTGGGCCTCAATTTCCTCTTCTGTGAAATGAGAGAATAGGACTAGATAACCTCTAAGGTCTCTTCTGGCTGTAGATGTGAGGTGCTAAGGGCTCTGAGCCTCAGTTTCCCCATCTGTAAAATGAGCTTATTTTGCCTCTGAAGCTCTCCAAGTGCCTTCCGTCACCCAATCCCACCGTCCCCGTGTATCAGTGACTGTCGTGCAGTTTCGGTGGATGCCCAGGGCAGGGGAGGGCTCTCGGATCCGGACTCACCATTCAGCCGGGTCTGCCGGTTGGCTCTCACTCTCAGGAAGGTCTGAGGGGAAATCCGGGCAGGCGGCGCGGCGGAGGCGGCAGCGGAGAGCGGAGGGAAGGAGAGGAGCACGGTGAGGTGGGGTGAGGTGCGGTAGGGCGCCTGCAAGCGAGGCCCCCTCCCCTCCCCTGTCCCCTCTCCCTCCCCGGGGCCGCCCCCGCCCCTCCCCCCAGGCCCGGCCCGTGTCAACAAACCTACTTCCTCCCTCCTGCCGCCGCCCACTCCGGCCGCCCCGCTGCGCCCGCGGCTCCGGACCCTCGGCATAGCCGCCCCCGGCCCCCGCGCCACCGCCCCGGCCCCCGCCCGGCCCCGAGGCCGCCGATGCGGGCGGATTCCCCGCGGCTGCCCGGCGGCGGCGCCGCCTCAGCTCCCAGCAGCGGCGGCGGCCATGTTGGCCCTCGTCATGTGACCACCGCTGCCGCCGCGCGCCCGGGGTAAGAGGTCACGGGCAGCGCCCGCAGGGGGCGGGGCCGCGGCGCGCTGGCGGCCCCTTCGGACAAGGGGGACATCCCGCCGCACCACCCCCTCGTGGGGCCGGTCCTTCTCCTTGGGACTAGCAATGTCTGAAGGTTGGCTGACCCCGTCGGCCAGGCCTTCTTGGAACAGCGTGTATCAATGTGTCAGCCATGGGGCCCTCAGCATGGGGTGTATCAACGGGCAGTAATATTTGGGGGTCTGAGAGTCTGCCCCCGCCCCGCAGAACTGGGAACGTCCGCCTGTAGCCGCCCACCCCGCCCCCTCCCGTCTGGGCCCTCTTGGATGGTGATGTATCCGCGGCCTGACCTCACCCCTTAAAGCAGGACGTGTCATTATGTATCAGCCATTGGACCCTTAGAATTCGATGAATTCATATGTGAATCCGCGGAGGGGTGAAAGATACGCCCCCCCCGAATGTGATGTATCGGTATGTATCAAGCTGGGCTCTGAGGGTCTGACTGCGCTCCTTGGACTTGTCATTATGTATCAATCTTTGGAACCTTGGAATGCGATGTATCCCTATGTATCAGCTGTGGAATGGGTGGTGTCTGTCGCCCCGCCCCCTTAGAACGAAATGTATCAGTATGTATCAGCATGGGATCTGCAGGTCTGACCCCACCCCTTAGAACAGGACTTGATTATGTATCAAACATTGCACACTTAGATGATGTATCCATATCTATCATGATGTATCCACGATGTAGGTGATGTATCATATGTATCAGTCATGGAGGGGGGTTGTCTGTCACATCTCCCCCCCTTAGAATGTGATGTATTAATATGTATCAACATGAGTCCTATGGGTCTGGCTCCACCCCTTAGAATGGGATGTATCTGTGGTGTATCAGTACATGTATCAGGAATGGGGCCTGACTCTCACCACCTCCCTCCCCCTTTGATGTTTACCAGTAAGGATCAACCCCAGTTGTCAGTCTGAGTCTCAGTGTGACCCTGTCCAACCCTTAGAACTTAATTATCAGCCTGTGGGCTGCCTTAGGCTGCTTCTGTCTTGTTCTGACCCAGCCCTGGCACATCCCTTAGAACCTCATGTATCTGGTTTTATCAGTCATGGGTCTGCCTGTCAGGGTCTGTCTGGATCTGCCCCCCTCAGAAGTTATGCACTAGCCATCTGTCTGGGTCTTATATGTCTTGTCCTGACCTCACAACCATAGAACCTTGGGCATCTGCTGTCTTTGGCCCTTGACGTTGTCTATCAGCTGTCTGGTCTGGGCCCCAGTCCCACTACATCCCATGGCCAGCCCCCCAGGCCTTTATGTATCAGCTTTGGGGCCAGTTCTGGAGCTGAATCGGTGGGTGGGCCTGGAGGTTACACAACAGCTGTTCTGGGGGGGCATGACTTGCCTCCTATCAAGTCATTATCCCTTACCTTACTCCCCACCAAGGAAGTGCCTAACCTTAGTGTTCAAATAAGACAATTTGTACTACTCCTTTGGATGCGCTGGAAGGGTATTATCTTCTGGGGTCTCTTTCACCTTGGAACTTCTGTGATGCTCACCTCTGGATTTCCAGCTCAGTCCCTCATCACCTCTTGGCTGGACAATTGTGTGAATCTCCTAACTTGTCCCTTTAGGAACTCAGTATTTCAAACCGGGCTAAATGCTGCTCCTTGAACTTTCAGTTGCATCTCTTGCCTCTGAATCTTTGTCCTGTTAAGTTTCCTAAGTATTACCCTCTTTTTCTTTCCAGAACTAGCTCATGTGCCACCTCCTCTAGGAAGCCCCCTAGGAATTCTCCTTGTTCCTCTTTTGCTCCTTTGAGCTCCCACAATGCACCTGTCGACACCCCTTCACTCCCTTCTTCCATGGCCTTTTCCCTGCCCAGCTTGGTGATCTTCATTGCCATTATCTGTATGTGGCTGGTCTTCCTTACTAGATCGAGAGCCTATGAAGGTAGATATCATGACTTCCTCATTCATATCCCCATAGAGTCCAGGTCAGGGCCTGGAAACAGCAAATCCCTCTCCATTTGACTGATGAGAAAGTTGAGACCCAGAGAGCCTCCACTTGGCCCTAAGAGAGAAGGCCTGAGCTGAGGAGGAATGAGGCCCTTGGGGAGTTATAGTTCCCTTCTCTTCTCCTCTCCTCTCTTCTCCTCTCCTCCCCTTTCCCTCTCTCTCTCTTCCCTCCCTCCTCTTCTCTGCTCAAAACCTTTAGTGGTTTCCTAGTTCTTCTCAATAATTCCACTGTATGACATTCAAAGCCTTCTGCAACCCAGTACTACCCCAAGTTGTCATTGTTATATGAGATAATGCAGGGAAAATATTTTGCAGGCCTCAGACACTATGCAAATGCCATCTATTCTTCTTTTCTGCCTTCCCCTCATTATTATTTACTTCCCAGGCTCAAATTCATTTTCAAAACACTTCAGACCTGGCTCCAGCTTCTCTTTCCAGTCTTATTGGATGCTACATACTCTTCTACACTCTATAATCCAGCCAAGCAAACTCTCTCTGTGCCTCACACTCTATAGACACTCCTTATTTCAATTCCATGCTTTGGCACTGGCCTGGCCCCCATGCATAGGATCCAGTCCCCACTCACCTTCACTTCTTAGAATCTCTGCCTTCAAGACAACTCAAGCACCATTGTCTGCAGAACCCCCCAAATGCCCTCCTGCCCCAACCACTTTGTGACTATTTGGCTTATTGATATTTATTCTCTTTATATTTATGCTACATATACTTATATGTGGGGCAACTTGGTGGCATAGTGGATTGAGCACCAAACCTGGAGTCAGGAAGATCTGAGTTCAAATCTGGCCTCAGACACTTACCAGCTGTGTGACCCTGGACAAGTCACTTAATCCTGTTTGCCTCAGTTTCCTCATCTGTCAAGTGAGCTGGAGAAGGAAATGGCAAACCACTAAAGTATCTTCGCTAAGAAAACCCCAAATGGGGTTACAAAGAGTTGGATACAACTGAAATGACTGAACAACAATGCTTATATACGTCCTTGTTATCATCCTCATTAGAATACCAGTTTCTTAGGAGCTGGTATTGTTTCAGTCTTTGTAACCATATCCCTAGCACTTGCCCAGTCCAGGGCCTAGCTTTCACTTAGTAGGTGCTTAGTAACTGCACCTAGGTACTTAATAACTGCCCTAAACCAGTTGGCAATAACTTGACCTCCCCCACCCCAATGGCTGAACCTCCACAAAGCTCTCTGTAGCATTGGCAATGTTGTGAATCTTGGTTCTCCACATAAGGGCTTAGCCCCCTTTAGATTCAAAGTCCCTTGAAGGAAGGAGCCATGTCTCCATCAGCACCTAGCACACAATAATTGTCTGATCAGTGTTTGCTAAATTAATCTCTTCCTTATCTGTAGGTATCCTTCTCACTCTCTTGCTAGGTCTCCATTCTTTCAATCTTGTCTTTCTCTGTATTCCTCCCTCTCTCTCACCCTGTCCCTCCCCTCTCTCTGTCTCTCTTTTCTCCTGCCTCTTCACCTTCTCCATATCTCTCCCTTTTTCTCTTTAAGGCCCTGTCTCTGTCCCCCATCTCCCCACTCTTTCTGTCTCTCTCCCTTCCTTTGTCTTGTTCTGTTAATCTGAGACAAAAAGGTGTTTCTGTCCCTCTTTTTCTATTTCTCTATCTTAACCTCTTTCCTTCTGCTCTGTACCTGGCCATCTCCCCTTTGGTTTCCTCTGCATCAAACCCTAGCCACCATGTCAATAACCATCTCTCCTTAGGCTCAGATAGAATAGGACCTTGAACACAAGAGCCCCAGAAATAGCAGCACCTCCCACCCAGGCCACTAGTCCTGTTTCCAGCCCATCCTCCATAGCCACCATCCAGGACAGCAGCTCTTGTGCAGAGGAGATCTGGCAATTGCCTCAGCTGGGACTTTGGGAGCACCTTCCTAGGAGCCACATCAGCTGAAGCCCTGGAAAAGAAAGTTCTTAGCTCTAAACCCTTGGCCCTCTCAAATGGTTCGACATCAGAAACAGAGTATTTTAGCAGTGGAAATAATATCAGAGGAGATGCATTTCCATCTCTCTGCCTTGTCACCCCACCCAAAGGACTACTGGGCTTTTCCAGTGGATTTAGCTGAAACCTCTTTTCTGTGTTGTCTCTTGCACGAGACTGTGAGCTCCTTGAGAGCAGGGGCTGTCAATACTAAGCACAGTGCTACACACATAGTAGGCACCTAAATACTTTTTCATTCTTTCATCCATCTTTGTCTCTCTCTTGTTGCTATTTCTATCTCTCTGTCTCCTTACCTCTCTGTCCCTTTCCTTCTCTCTCCCATATCTTTCATTCTTTTCTTGGTTTTTGCCCCTCTTCCTCTCTACTTCTCTGTTTCTCTAACTCTTATTTTTTTTTATGTCCCTTTCCAAATGTCTCTGTGATATTGCATGATTGGGGATGGGGCAGGGCAAGTGACTTCTTCAGCATGGGAAAGGAATCCTGGGCAGGGCAGAGCACTCCTTGGGGCAAAGCTTGGGTAGTTCTAGAGTGAGAGGAAGGGATAGGACCATGGCTTGGGTTGGGGTAGTGGTGGTGGGTAGGATGAGACAATGTATAGAGAAGAGCAGGAAATGCTTCCATTTTTTGCTCCACAGAGAATAAGTTTTGGATAGGGAAGGCAAGACAGGGCTTAAGAGATAGCTGGGTACACTGAAGCTGCCTGGGCCAAATGAACTAATAATAATGCCTCAAATTCTGAGTGTTAGAGTTCTGAACTTCTTGATGCTAATCCTTGAAAGCTTAGGGAAGATGGGTGAGATGCTCTGGGTCTGGAGAAGGGCAACAATTTCCTGATCTTTCCAAAGAGAGGAGGTTTCAATTACTGGCGCCATCCTAATGTGGTCCCTATAAAGTGTTGGCATGGGAGCAATTAATGATACAGGATGTTTCTGGAGCACTTTAAGGATTACCACAAGCCCTCTATAGACATAATCTCATTTCATCTTCACAATCACCCTGGGGAATAGGTGTGACAGTGGTTATTACATATATTTTACAGATAAGGAAACTGAGGTTGAAGTTGCCATAATCACACAGCTAGAAAAAATTCAGTAGGGTATTAAAGCCCAGAAGGTTCTCCTCTAGTCTGGGATACCTCTCTACATCTAGATTGAGAAAGGGGATTGCAAGAATCAGCTGGGCTCCATCAGGGCCAGAGGTGGTCAGATCAGCCTGACTTCCTTTGTTGACAGGACTTATGGACTGGTCCATCTGGGGAATGCTGCAGCTATATTGTTTGACAAAGTCTCTCACACTATTCTTGCAGAAGAGATGACCTGTAGGTGATAGGACCTTTAGGTGACTTTGAAACCAGTTAAATAACTGGATCCAAAGAGTCATCATGAAAGCTTAAATGTCAGCTTGAATAGAGGTCTCCATTCTGGGATCTGTCTGTGTTAGGCTTGTGCAGTTTTGTCCTACTTGCTCCAAACATGAACCCTGCCCCTGTAAAATCACTTCTATATTTTGTTTGCTCTTGGTATACCCTCCCCCACCCATTTCCTTATCAGTGAACAAATCTTTTCTTCGCCCAATAGAAAGTCTGCTCCTTGAAGGCAAGGCTCGTTTACCTTTTACTTATATATTCCAAGCACCTAGCACAGTGCCTGGTGCATGGCGGATACTTAATCACATTTGCAGGGAACCCTAAGCTGGGAGGGATACACGTTGATGCCAAAGGCAGGATATTAACAGACAGGCTAGAGCAGGGGGCTGAACCGAATAAGGCGATTGAAATTTTATAGGGACAAATGTAAAGTAGTTTACTTGGGTTTAAAAAAATTAACTTCACAAATACAAAATGGGAGAGGACTGGATAGAAGACAATAGCTCTTCTGAAAAAAAGTGTGAGGTTTCAGTGGACCATAAGCTCAATATAAGTCAACATCATGACAAGGAGACTAACAGAGCCAAGGCTATCCTAGGTTGCAACACAAGAGGCATAAAGGACTCATTCTAGGGTGGTGACATGTACTCTCAGGAGACCATCTCTGGAGTACCATTGCCTGAAGTCCTGTTGTTGTTCAGTTGTTTTTCAGTCATATCCAGTTCTTTGCAACTCCTTTGGGGTTGTCTTGGCAAAGATACTGGATTGGGTTTGCCGTTTCCTTCTCCAGTTCATTTTACAGATGAGGAAACTGAGGCAAACAAGGTTAAGTGACTTGCCCAGGGTCACATAGCTAGTAAGTTCCTGACTCCAAGTCCAATACTCCTTCTCTCTCCTCTCCTCTTTTCTCCCCTGTCTTTCTCCTCACCTTCGGATCCATTTCTCTGCCTCTGGCTGCGTCTTTTTGAGGGACTCCCCCCAAGCCCCTGTGAATTCCCTGACACCAAGAGCCTACTGGCAGAGATGGATCAGGGAAGCTACAGGCCTGGGAAGGGTGATCTGAGATTCCTTCTAGTTCTGTGTGTGACTTATAGACTTTCCTTCCCAAGAAATAGGGAGGAAGCAGAAGGAAGGCTGCTTTATTGTCTCTTGTCCTGACTCCCACAATACTATCAGCACCTTTTTTGGGGGTAGAGATCTCCCAAATCACTGCCCTGCCCAGGTTCAGCTCCATCTTCTCTGGTCCATTGACATTCATAGGCTTTAGGACCCCTGAACCTGTGGGAAAGGGGTTTAAAGACTTTTTCTCTGGCCCTGGTCAGTGTGAGAGGGAGAAGGGGAGGGCTTGCCTGCATAGTCTTCAAGGACCTTCCACTTACACTCCTGCCAGACTTACCTTTGGACCAGGAGGCTTCCGGGATACCAAGCCTGGCCTTGGCAGCATCCAGCATGGTGGTCATGAGCTCCCACTCTGGCTTCCTCCACGCCCCTTCTTTTGGAGGTGGAAGTAACCAGGGCCAAAGCCTAGGGTTTGAGTCTTCCGTGCCTACCTGCCTTCCCATCTTCCCGAGGGCAACCCAGGACTCTGAGACTTTCTGGTCAGTGTTACAGAACCTCCTGCAGGTGTGTTATCAGGTGCCTGCAGGTGTGTTAGCATGAAAAATTCTGCCTGGCCTTGGGAAATTCCTCCTCACTCTTTCCCCAGCTTACCCCAAAGCTGCCCTCCTGACTCCCAATTTTCAGCCAGGGGTTAGAGCCAGAGGACGCAGAACCACCAAAAGTCTGAGTGGCCATCCAGGCCTACTCTGGGAGGGGACAGAGTCAGGGGGTACAGGTTGGTGGGAGAGGCAGAGATACATCCTCTCTCCTCTCCTCATCCCCTCAGTCCCCCAGCTCCGGGGCATGGGAATGATGGGCTCATTTGCTCCCATGCTAGCACACTGTCTCCTGCTATGGAGTATGCACGTATGTAAGGTTCTGAGACCCACCTGATATCGGTCAGAATGGTGCAGATCATCTGAGGAATGTGGAGAGGCTGTGGGTGAGTCCCCTTCTCGCTTGATCGAGGCTGATAACAAGAGAGACTGTAGGAAGAATAAAAACAGGAGGGGAGGTTGGTAAGGGCTGGGACACAGATTCTTCTACCCTTCCTGTAACCTTCCCTTGGTAGTCCATCTGGAAGGGTTTGCTCTTCCCCCCCCTTGAATATCAGTCATCCTTCTGCTGGGAGGCCCGAGATATGCTTAAGAACGAACTCTGTCTGGTCACATGCTACCATCCTTCAAAACCCAGGTCAGGTGCCACCACCACCACCAGAGAGTCTTCCCTGATTTCCCCAGGAAGAAGTGTAGATGTTGACTGATGATAGCAACACGGATGCCTGTACTTCTCCAGCACTGTAAGTCTGAGAAAGCTCTGCTGCCAACAGATTCTGAAGCACCTAGTGGAGGAGGGTTATTAGAGTGCTTCCACTGCACGGAGAGGAGCCTGAAGCCCAGGGCTGGGGGTGGGGATGGGGGGCGAAGGAAGTGCCTTGCTCAGGATCACTCAGCAATCTTCCCTCTGCCTGAGCTCAGCCTGGGTCTGAGGGCCCTCATCACAATCCTCCCTGGGCTTCTATAGGAGTTCCCTTAGGATTGGGATGAGGGAGCTTATTCATTTGAAGGTTGAGCTGGAAAGGACCTCACTGGATCCAACCCAGAACTGAATAAGCATCTACAACACATGCATTGCCAAGGTTGTCCAGCCTCCTCCTCCTCTTCCTCCTCTTCCTCCTCTTCCTCCTCTTCCTCTCCTTCTTCTCCTTCTTCTTCTTCTTCTTCTTCTTCTTCTTCTTCTTCTTCTTCTTCTTCTTCTTCTTCTTCTTCTTCTTCTTCTTCTTCTTCTTCGCAATTGGGGTTAAGTGACTTGCCCAGGGTCACACAGCTAGTACGTGTCAAATGTTTGGTCTGAGGCTGGATTTGAACTCAGGTCTTCCTGACTTCAGGGCTGGCGCTCTATCCACTGCACCATCTTGATGCCCTGTCCAGCCTCTTCTTGAAGAACTCCAGTGAGCAGGTGCCTTTCCCTCCGCCTCTCCAGGCAGCCCATTCTACTGCTGGACAGCTCCCAGGTCCTCTCAGTGTTCCTAGGCCACAGAGCAAGGAGGATCTCTCCCCACAGGGACAGTCTTTCACATGGCACTCATGTCTCCTTTCCCTTCTCCCCTGCTCAAGGCTTCCTTTTTCCATGTCAGGCTTCCCCTAGACCCCTAAACCCAGCAGACAGCACCAAGGACCGGGATGTTAGACTTTAATGATCAGATGCAAGGCCACACTTCTCAGTCTCAGGGTGCTGGACCCAAAGGGTCTCATATCACAACTTCATTCTAATACTGAGAGAGTAACAGTCTCATCCCTACTTCACAGAGGAGGAAACTCAAGCTCCTCCAAAGGAAGGGACTTGTCCAGGGTCATACATCTGTGAACCAATGGTGCCTGGTCTTGGTTTGAAAGGTAGGGCCCTCTCCCAGGATGGGGTCTCCTCCACCTGCCAACACACAGTAGAGGCCCAGCGCATTTTTGCTGATGACTTGGCAATCAATCTTTTTTTATCTATTGTTTCAGATCAGGAGAGAGGGGATGGAGGGAAAGACAAAAGGTCAGATAGCCTTCAGAAAGAACTTGGGTTCAGTGATCACCTCTCTGCATGTGAGTCCCAGGTCTATTTTTCCAGCCCTTGTCTCCCTCCTGGACCCCTTGGCCCTAACCCCCAGGCCCCTACATCACCAACTGCCTCTTGGTTATCACAAAGATACCTTGAACTCACCATGTCCAAAACAGTGCTCATCATCTTTCCCCTCCTAACACTCCCCTCTTTTCAGGCTTCCTATTACTGTTGAGGGTGGCACCATCTTCCCAGGCACCCAGGCTGGCCTCTTAGGTCTCATCCTCATCCTCTAAGCCTCCTTCTCTGCTCTAACACCCTTACCACCCTCCCCATTGCCTCTCACCTGGACTACTCTAATAACCTCCTAATTGGTCCTCCTGCCTCCAGTCTTTTCATCTCTCCAATCCATCTTTTGCACAGCTGACAAAATGATGGTCCTTGAAGTACATACAAGTCTAACCATGTCCCTCTTCTATTCAAAGATCTTCAGTGGCTCCCTATTACCTCTAGGATAAAATACAAACTTCCCATTTAGCAGTTAAATCCTTCTCAATCTGGCTCCATCCAGACCTATTACACTCTACTGCCTCCACGCCTTTTTACAGATGGTGCAGGGGGTGCCTTTCTGTTTCTCACCTTCACTCTTAGAATCCCTAGTTTCCTCCAAAACTCAGCTCCAGGGGCTATATATATACACAGAATACACATATACATGTTTGTGTGTATATATACTGTATATGTGTGTATACACATATGTATATATAATGTACGCAGGCATACACCCATAGCTACGTGTGTATAAATGTATGAGTGCACATACATATATGTGTATATATACACATATTTATGCATATATAAGACACAAATTTATATTAATGTACACACATGTATACACATGTATGTGTATAGTGTATTGTGTATATATAATGTATGTATGTGTACAAATATAGATAGATCCATCCTTCTAATAGAATGTAAGCTCCCTGAGGGCAAAGGCTGTTTCGCTTTGTCTCTATGGCCTTGGTACTGGCATACACACACAGAACAGGTGTTTAATAAGCAGTTCCTGAAAGAATGACTGATTGCTCCCGCCTCCTTCCCCCCCCTCTCCCTCATGGTTGCTTGAGCTGGGCCTGGTGGCCATTTGCCCCCTTCCTCCTTCTGGTCCAAACCAATTTTCTCAGTACCTCCTTGGAAGTCCTGGAAGGGCCTTCAGAAGCCAGCCTGACTGCAGTGAGAGGCACAGAAGTGCAAGAATCCAGAAAATCCAAGCTCACATTTGGAAAGCACTTTATACCCAGATCATCTCATTTGCAGACAGTGAGGTGGCCCAGTGATTAGAGCTCTGGGCCTGGAGGCAGGAAGATTTCAGTGCCAGTCCTGCTTCAGATGCTTACAAGCTGTGTGACCCTGGCTAAGTCACTTAAAGTCTCTCTGATTCAGTTCCCCTACTTGTGACATGAGGCTTATAGCACCTCCCTTCCAGGGACCAAATGAGGTAACTTATGATAAGTGCCTTTCAAACCTTGAAGGGGGGTGTGTCGTGGATCAGTTTCTGCATCAAGCCTTGGATCAAAGCCTCCCAATGAGAGGAAATGCTTGTTTAGCTTACTCCACTTTGGGGCAGCTGTAATCCTTACATGGAACTTCAATCTGCCTCCTGACCTGTCCACCACCCCGGGCCTGTCTCTGGGGCCCAGAAGAGGAAGTCTTACCTCTTCTGTATGATGGCTGTTTAGATCCTTGTAGCCAAACTGCTTTTATTTTTTTCTAGGCCAGGCTCCACCCAGGCTGACCTCCCCCTCCTTGGGTTATTCTGGCCCAGGCTAATCTTAATACCTGAAACTCCAGGGGTTGGCTGCTTACCCTAGGACTGTGGGCTCTTCATTGGACCTGAAGGTGGTGCCTTATACCCTTGGGGTCATTCCTTTTGAGGGCCAACACTCAGCCCTGTTTTTTTTTGAGGGCTCTACCTGGCCCAGACTGACTCTAGGAACAGGAGCGGTGTCAGGAGCTAGAGAAGGTAGGGAGAACCAGTACTTTGAGGGCAGAGCCTGCAAGAAGAAAGCTGCAGGTTCCTGTCCTTCTCAGGGCTCCTGGTCAGTTAAGGGTTAGCTAATCTGTTCCATAGAGAAGGGAAAAGCTAAGAAGCCTGCTTCTGACTTAAAGCCCCAGGCTCCTGCTATTAGATCACAGAACTTAGGGCTAAGGGAACTTCCTTATTTTATGAAGTGGAAAACTGAGGCCCTGAGATGTCAAGGTACTTGCTTGAGTTCACACAGGTAATGAAGTAACAGAGATGATGACACTTGAACCCAAGTCCTCTGCTTCTCATCCTAAAGTTCCTTCCACTATCCCTGTCTCCCTCTCTGCTCTCCCTGCCTGGCTGGTGAATGAATGCCTCTAATCCAATATTATTATGTGAAAAATGGCCAGCCCCACTATGGAGACAGTAAATTAAACGTTATGTATTAGTTTTTAGCGGGTAGGCAGGGGCGGAACGCTGGGCCCATTTATTCCTGAGCCTCAGAGATGACCTCTGGAAACAGGCGAGGCTCAAAGTAATCCCCGGCCGTCAATCTCAGCACCTCTTCTGCATACCCGCTGCTTCGATTAATAAATTGTCTATTTCTAAATTGTGCGGAAATGCTTCCACACTAAGCATGGGTCAGGAGTGGGTGCTGGGTCCTGTGCCTGTGGGGCTGGCAAGGGCCAAGGCATCCCCCTCCCTGACAACCAGAAGCTGGGCTGTGGGCTGGAGAAGAGGCTGGCTCCAGTGTGTGTGTGTGTGTGTGGTGTGTGTGTGTGTGTGTGTGTGTGTGTGTGAGTGTGTGTGTGTGTATATGTATTTCTCTCAGTGCCTGGGAGAGAACTTCACTTGGCAGGCCCTGCTCCCCCCACCACTCATCCTCTCTCCTTCCCTCCAAAGGTTTTCACCAACATAGCCCCACCCCCACCCCCACCCCCTTGTTTGAAATCGCTGGTGACAGCCCAAAGAAAGCAATTTGGGAAAGAGAGAGAGGTCATTTATCCTCTATCTCCTGGGCTGAGTGGCTGGGATGTGACCCGAATTCTGCCCGAATCCTCAGGCACTGCATGAGGGTTCGGGGTGGAGGTGGGGGCTGGGCTAGAAACTGCCACAGTCTCTCTGTCTGCTTTCAGTAGGGAAGGGCCAGGGAAATTAGGTAGGAATGGGACCTCTGTGCTCTCCTAGCCTGGACAGAAGGAGCTGTCAGAGGCCCCTGGAGAAGCAGGGCAAACTCATCACATTCTGCTCAATTACTAATACCTTCCAAGTAGTCTGAGAATCCATCGGAGGGAGCAGGGACACAGGCAGCATAGATCCACCCCTCTGCCTCATTCTCCATAGGGACTGTGTGTGGCTCAGGGACTCCATCTTTCCTACCCTGGTCTCCTGGCCCTTCTTCCCTAGCTACCCAGGGTTGTGGGGCCACCACAGGAGAAGAGGGCAACATGAAATCCTTGGACTTCACACAAGACTGAGCCTTTCTCTCCCTGCTGACAATCCTCCTGCCTTAACACCCCCCACCCCAATCCTCTGGCCCCTGGCTCCAGCCTGGCCAGCCAGGGACCCAGCCAGGGAGGACTGGGGACAAGAGGGGTGCTAGAAAGGAAGGGCTCCTTGGAATCAGAGATGCTGAGTGGGAAGCCTGGCTCTGCTGCTTGCCGGGCCTACTTCCTGGCCTTTCTTCTTCTTCAATTTCCTTCCCTATGTCCTGAGGGGCTATTGGACCCTTCTAGCCCCACTTTGGGGGCCCTGTCAATGTGTGTGTGATCTCAGCTAATTCTTTGTGCTTCTCTTGTTCCTCTTTTCCTCCTCCTCCTCTTCTTCCTTTTCTTCCTCTTCCTCTGCCTCTACCACCACCACATCCTCCTCCTCTCCCCCCTTGTCTTCCCCTTCTTCCCCCTTCTTCTTCCCCTTCCCCCTCCTCTTCCTTTTCTTCTTCCTCCTCTTCCCTTTCTTCTTCCTCCTCCTCCTCTTCCTCTGACTCCACTTTTTCTGTGATGCTTTCTAGGCAGCACTAGGCAGTCTCCTCTCACTCCTCCTCATCCATCTATCTCTTTGTGGAAGGGAGAGGTGAGGGGCCCCCGGGGAGGTGATAAACCCTGAGAGGCAAGGCCTCCCCCTCCGCCTCAGCCGCCTCACACCTGGGGCGAGTGGAATAAAAAAAGGTCACCAGCGCTTTTTAAACACGGGCACAAGATCGGGAAAATGTGCTTGGGAAAAAAACCGCTGGCATTAAATCATGACTCTGTGCCTGGCTCCTCGCCTCATTAAAAGTGGCCTTTCGCAAGGTAAAATTATCATTGTAAGCGATAAGATCTTTAAGAAAATAATTCACGGCTTCTTCACCCTTTAATATGATGGCCGCCACTGGCTAATTTTTTTCTTAATGGCAACGAGATCATCAATCTTGTTCAAGACTTCCTCTCTCCCTCCTCCTCCTCCTGATCTGACTCTCCCCCCCCCGCCACTCAGTCCCAGTGCCCACAGCCACTGCCCAGCTGCCTTCCTGAAACTCCTTCTCTTCCTCTTGAGCACTCCCAGATGCCCACTACCCAGCTCCCTCTCCTGGTCCTCCCAGTCCTGGCCCTGTGGCTAAGCAAGGAACCAGAGTGAGCGGATGCTGGCTTGGCATGGACCTTGGTCCTGAAGCCTAGAAATGTTCACACATGTGTACATTTGTACATTCATATGGGTGTGGGTGTGGGGCAGAGAGTGAACAAATGCCTCATCTGTAAAATGAACGGCTGAAAGATTGTCTTTCTAGGGATTCTGGTGGTTCCTGGGACTCTCCCATCCTCCCCCCTTCATATGCTCCCCTGGTGTTTCTGTAGGTGGAACATTATGTTTTTACAAAATTGTACGTGTGCATTAAAGCCTCTGGGTGCCTGTGTTTGTATCCGTGTGTGTGTGTGTGTGTGTGTGTGTGTGTGTGTGTGTGTGTGTGTGTGTGTGTGTGTGTGTGTGGTGTGTGTGTGTGGGGTGACCTGGTATTTGTCAGCACTGAGAAAATGGACCAAAATTGCCTTCACTTTAGCCATCAGGCCCGCCCCTGCCGGCTGCTCCTCTCCCTACTCCCCCCCCTCAGTAGTTGGGGTCATATGTGGGGGAAGGAAGGTACCAGATGTGGTGGGAGTGGGGGCCAGATGTGGGGGTCATCGAGTGCCATTGACATGCACTTCCCTTTTAAGCTTGGTCATTTGAAACTATTAAGTGCTGGGTGGGGGTTGCTGCCAGGGGCGGCTTGAGCCAAGCCAGGGAGTCTATTTCCCTTAAACAATCCATCAGCGGCTGTCACCCGAGCAGCCCCGCTCCTGCTAGCACCCGCTTTTATCTCTGACCGCGCCACTGCCTTTTGTGGGATTCTGCACAAAGTGTTCCTTGCCTGATGAAGGCTTTAACTCAGCTTCCAAAGAGGGGTAAATATCACTTAGCAGCCTCAAGAGAGAGGCTTTGACAGGCTGCCCCCCACCTCAATCCAGGCCACAGCAGGAGGGGGGCTACAATAACAGTAGGGATAGGGCCAGCCTCCACCCTCCTCAGGCAAGGGAGAGCAGCCTGCTATAAGCAGGGACCATATCCAAGCCATTACCAGGTGCTATTTAATCTGCCTTTGAAACTTCTCTCCCCTTCCATGGTTTCCTTCCCCTCTCAAAGCTTTCCCCCTTCTCATTCAGGCAGGCCCCATTGCCTCTTGCCTGGACTATTGCAACTGCTTCCTAAGAGTCTCTCTGCCTCCAGCCTCAGCCTTTCCACACAGCTGCCAAATTGATATTCCTAGATTTGTCCAGTATGACCATGTCATGGACCACACAAATGCATCTCCATTACCCAAAGGAGAAAGTTCTAATTCCTCAGTGGAACATTCAAGGTCTTCTGAAATCTGCTTCCACCCTGTCCTTCCAATCTCATTTTATCCTGATGCCCTAGAAACAGTCTCCCTCCTCTCAGTGGGTCCTGTGGCTCAGTGAGTAGCCCTGCATTGCTCCTCCCCTCCCTCAGCCAGCCTGCCTTGGCCCACTCCTGCCTCACTGCCTGCTCACCCCAATCCTCCTTGCTTCTCCTTTCCCAATCTGACTCTCATTTTAAGACCTGACTCCAGCCCCTCCTACTGAGCCCCCCGTCCTGCTTCCGTCCCAGCTCCCAGTCCCACCTTGTGATCAATGGTCCTCCTGGTCCTCCATTCTTAGTAATATTCTGGTCAGTGACAGCTCCTTTCTCCCAGGAGCAAAAGCTCCCTGGGACCAGCCCTCCAGCCCCCACCCCCCACTCCCAGGTACAGTTGAGCAGAGGGATGGCCATGCAAGAAAGACAGAGAGTCAGCATCCTTATGTCTGCTTCAAGAGCGGGCCATCTGCAGGACTGTGCATGGGATAGAGAGGACTAGGCAGGAGGGGTTGGGAAGAAATGCCCAGGGAGTTGCCAGAGAAGGGGCAGCTGATGGCTACTGGTGGTTAGAAATCATGTCCTAAGAATGTTAATTGAAGGAGCCAGGGTTCTTCTTAGTTGGGAGAAGAGAAAACTCAGGGGAGACATGATAGCTGTTCTCAAGTACATGAAGGGTTGTGTCCTGTGTTAGGTGTTAGATACTGGAGTGGTTTGCCATGTCTTTCCTCATCTCATTTTACTAGATAGGGAAACTGAGGCAAACAGGGTTAAGTGACTTGTCCAGGGTCACACAGTGTCTGAAGCCAGATTTGAACTCACAAAGATGAATCTTCCCAACTCCAGGTTGACACTCTATTGACTGGAACTTTCTAACCTTGACAATTGTCCTAAACAGGGGGTGAATTCTGCCTCCTCCTCCTTGGAAGACAATTCTGTGTCAGGGATGTTGCTGAGAGTATTTCTGCCAGGGGTTAGGGCTTCTCAGGAGGGTATGACTGTGCATGAGATATGATGAGCTTGTGACACCCGGAGGGTGCCGGAGAAGAGCTCTGCCACCTACCTTGGGGGTGCCAGGGGCCATGGCATCCTTCAGGAGGGAATTCTTGCTGCAAAGAAAGAAGACAAACAGATGAGGTTTCCAGAGTCCCTGGGGAATGGGATGTAGGACAGGTGCAGGAGTAGCAGTCCTCCTCGCTCCCCACCTTCCACTTCATGGCCAGGCCCTGGGTCTCCCTCGGTCCTGTGGTCTTGCTTATCTCCCCAGGTAGGGCAGGGATGGGAGGGTGCCTGCCCTCCCTCATCCTCAGTTACCTACAGACCTCCTGGAGCTGGGGCAGCTGCTGAGGGGAGGGGACTCTTAGAACAGACATGCTACTGCCCCTCCTTGCTCCACCCCCAGAGCCATGACCCTGTAGGTCTAGGCTATGGACAATTCCTAATGGACTGGCAGCTGCTCAGGGGCCAAAGGCTCATTGAGGTAGAGACCAATTCTCCCCATGTCCCTCCTCTTGAGTTGAGAGTGAAAGGTGGGAGGCCCAGTCTGGGTTTAATCCTAGCATCCGTATGCATAGCCATCTCCCTCCCACTAAGCAGGAGTGACAGGAGCAGGGAGCAGACCGTCACTGGGCCTCGGCCACCAAGCTCATCCCCTTAAGGCCTGGTCCTTGTGCCCAGCCCATAGCCCTGATCATGCAGGCTCACAGAGAGAGGCAGAGGAGCTGAGTACAGCACACATCAGAACCCCGTGAATTAGGGGTAGGGCAGAGAGAATGACTGACCCAGCTGGACCCCTGAGCCCCTTCCCATTCACCTGGACTGGCCTAGGCTCAGTAGAGACTCCTGCCCAGGGCACCAGGAGTTCCTTTTAGGCCCAAGGCAGTACCAATCCCTCTTTCCATTCTCTGACCCTCCCTCCCAGTCCCAGGGGAATGGCAGCCCTGGGGAGATGGAGGCTGCAAGAAGGAGGAGGAGGAGGGAAGAGCAGGACAGAGGCTCTGATGATCTCCCCACTTGCTGCCTGCCTGCCACCGAATGATCCAGGGGCTTTAAATCATGAGCAAGCCCCAGCACCGGTCCCTGCACCCAGCCCAGGCTGGCACTTTTAATTAAGGTGATTTACACCGAATTATCCTTGGAAATAAAGAGGCAGGGAGCTGCCCGCACTGAGCCTCCCCCCTCCGCCCCCTGCTGAGCTTTAATCTATTGGGGGAATTGTTTATCTAGCTCATTACCCAACCAAACACCGAGGCAGGCAGAGGCCCAGAGCTGCTGCTGCTGCCGCTTCTGGCTGCTGCCCCTGTACCAGCCTTGCCATCACCTCCATAGGCCTGACAGGCTTTAGATGAGGCAGAGAGAAAGGCCAGGGCCTGGGGGGTCTGGGGGTAGCCTTCTGTCCCATTCTGTCTTTGCTGACTTCTCCCATGCTACCTCCCAGAGACACAAGCCTTAGAACAGGAGTCTCCAACCAGAAACAGATTTCCTGAGGAAGCCCCAAATCTGGCCTGCCTTTCCCTCCCCCCAGCACAACCCTCAGAGCTCAGGGCTTGTGAATGTTGGAAGACATCTCTTTAATTCTATGGCCAGTCTCTAGCCTGCCTATCCCCTAATCCCCCTATCGCCCAACCCCGCTCCAAATCGGATACCTCTCTGGGGGATATCCCAGCTCCACCTTCAACTCAACCTGACTCATTCTCTTCCTCCTACACCTGCTTCTCCTTGGGACGCTATTGGTCCTGGCTGTGACTCTAGCCCTGCTCCTGGGGTGGGGAAAAGGGTGGTTACAGTGATTGTATTGGTCTGTTTTGGTTGGGAGAGTATGTCTCTGAATCTCTCCCATTGTAGGAGTGGGTGATGGGCAGGAGGGACCCACAAGAGGGAGCCTGGGAGAGGGGAGGCCTGGCTTTCTCCCCCCACCCCCATGACCCTTCCTGGGAATCCCTCCCGCACCCAATTACAGCCTTAATTGGCAAGTCCGGGAAATCAATTAATTCGCAAATTTTTTCCAATTAAAAATTAAGATAAATCAGGCAGCCTCATCAGGTGCCAGGGCCAGGCAGTTTGGGGGGGGCGCCCTTGGAACGCCTTTGCCGGGCGCGCTGTCAGCGGGCGGCCCGGCCGAGACAGATAAAAACCCATCGACCCGTCGCGAGTAGCTCTTCAGCTCCATCGATCAGGCGGGATTTCACTGGCTCTGCAGAGCAGAGGGGGGTGCAGGGGTTCAAACCTGCCCCACTGATCCAGGGCCTGGGCCCCAGGTGCCCTGATGGCTGAGCCACAACTTCTTACAGGGTTACTTCTTCCCCCCCCAACCTTCCCCAGGGTAACTTTACTGGGGAAGGGGTGATCCGGGGTACACTGGGGAACCAGAATGTGCGAGGGCCCTCCTTAGCTCAAGGCATGCGGGTTGTGCCCCCAGTCTCATTCCTGCTCCTCCCATAGACCTTAATCCCTCACTGCTCATTTTGGGGTAAGGAGGCAGGAGTAAGAGACAGAGTCTAATGCTGGAGAAGGCTCAGTGAATCTGATGACAGTCACTGGAGACAGGAGGGAGCTTGGGGCCAGGGGCTCTGTGGGAGGCTCTGGCTCTCTGGCTTGGGGGCCCCCATGGGAGAGGTGGCCGGACAGACTAAGTCTGAGGTGGACTGTACCTGCTGGGCAGCTGGGTGAGTTTTTCCAGCTCCTGTTCCATGTGTTCCTGCAGCTCCCCCGGCCGAAGCAAGACCTGGCAGATGGGGCAGGTGGGGGCCTGGCTGTCAAATAGGGCTGCTGCTGCCGCTGCTGCAGCTGCTGCTGCCGCCGCTGCCTTCTTCTTACCTAAAGAGGCAGGGAGGCAGGGAGGAAGGCCACACACGGACAGGGAAACACACAAAGATAAGGCAGAATATTAGTTGGGGCTCTTGTGCCCAAAGCACACCTTGGCACACCCCTGGCTCCTGATCCTCTCTGTTTAGGAGGCTGAGGCGGAGGGATACTCAGGTTCAGTAAAAGAATCTTACTTGGCTCCAACCCCAGCCCGGTTCACATCTTGTCCCTTCTCTGGCCTCCTGCGGCCATCGCCTCCCAGGCTTTAGGAGGTCCTTCAGCAGCTCCTGCTTACCTTGCTTCCCACTGCTCTCATCCCCTAGCTGTTCTACCCCATGGCTTTGGCTTGCACCTTCCATGTCCCCTCTCCCCTGCTCCCCAGTCTCATTCAAGATGAGACTTGTAGAGGTAGAAAGGGCTTCAGAGGAGTTCCATCAAGCCTGGAGATGTACAAGAATCCTTTCCACTCCATCTTGGCCCTAGACTCTTATAGCCTCTACCTAAGAACTTCTGTTGAGCAGGAGCCTCCCATTGCTGGAGGGGGGTGTCCCTTCAGCTCTGGGACAGCTCTCATTATTGTGGTGTTCCTGATCTCCCATGAAATCTGCTTTTCTTTACTACCTCAGTGCTCCTGGTTCTGCCCTCTGGGGTCAAGCCCAACTGTCTTCATGTCCCCTCCTCAGGATGGCTCTTCAGGAGCTCAAAAAGAAGAACTTCCCCCTTCCCCAGTCTCCTCTTCTGTCATTCCATGAAGGGGTTGGATTAGATAATCTCTAAGGTCCCTTCCAGCTCTAAAGGTTGTGGGATGCCCTCTCCCCCCCATAGAGTCTGAAGCCTTTCTGAATGTGTCTTGTCTCCAGGCTCCTCACCACCCTGATTGTTCCTTGGTGGACACTATATAAAGCCCAAGACATGGCCTATTCTCCCTCTCTCACTGGCTTTGATGCTGATCACAGTCAGCCCAGCAGTGATGACCCATAGCCCCTAGGTCCTTGGCATAAGACTGACTATTCTCTCTCTCCAGCCTCTATCCTGTGTATGCCTCTGTCCCAGGTAGCCCCCAAGCCTGCCATATCCCATTCAGTTCAACCCAGGGAGGAAGCTGGGAACTAGGCAAGGACAGAGATATGATGGGTGGGTGAGTGGGTGGCGGCAGTGTTGGGGGGGGGGACCTGTCAACTCTAAAGATGATGGATGGGGGAGGCAAGGCGGTGGCTGGCGGTGCTGTGGCGTTATCGGATGCTCTGCCCGTCCTAGAGACGTGGGCCGCTAATCCCCGGGCGAGGCTGCAGCCGCCCTCCTGCTGATAACCAGGAAATGGGACTGACAACAATTTTTAGCCGAGAGATTCTTCACCAAAATGCCGAGGCCGGAGGTCTGACAGCGGCTGATTGAGCGCGAGCGAGCGTGAGCCCAGGAGTGAGGAAGAGAAGGGGGAGACTTTGGAGGAGAGGGAGGGAGGCAGGCACGGGAGGGGGGCTAGGCCCAGGGCCTCACCAGGGAGTCAGAGTTATTCTCTCCTTCCTTGCCTCCCTACTTGGTCCTTTTATTTGGGGCCTGCCGGACCTTGTTCATTCTGGCTGAGCTGAGGGGTGAGCTGGGGAGTACTTCTCAGCCTCCCGGCCCCTAATCCTTGGTCATTGAGAGCAGAAGGTTGAAGGTAGTCATTCCCTGGCCTATGAGCCCCAACCCCAGCACAGCTCTAGCCTCATTGGCAATGTTGTCTGGGACAGTGATGGAGATTGTGGCTGTGAGGACAAGAACGGCCACAGAATCTTAATGGGAGGTACCTTGAACCCAGACCTACACATGAGTGCCCCCCAACAAGTGGTCAGTTAGCCTCTGATAGAACACTTCCAAGGATGGGGAGCTCACCACCTATGGAGGCAACCCATTCCCCTTTGGTACAACTCTGACTTGCCTAAATGGAACTCTGCATGTTCCTGACATTGTTCATGGCTTTAGTCTCTGGGTACAAGTAGAACAAATCAGATTCCTCCTCCTCACAGATCTTCAAATACTTGAGGAGATAATTTACAAGCATGCACCCCGTGCCCCGCCCCCCTTCTCCTGGCTGGTTGGCCTTCTGTGGATGATTGTGTAAGTGAGGAGGAGAGGCACACTGACTGAGGATGATGGCACAGGGAAAGGTAGCTGTGGGTAGGCTTACATTGTCCACCCCCAAGTCCCAAATGGACAGGAGGGGTTGCTCAGGTTGGGCTTGTTACATCCTAGAGGGTCATACCTCACACATGCCTTTCCAGAGATTGAGCAGGCTGGGCATGGAGGTATAGAAACCTTGCAAGGCCTCCAGGCAGTGCTGGCCCAGGCTGAGGGGATGGTACCTGGGTTCCTAGCCTATGTGGAAAGCCTCTCTTCCTAAATGCCCATGGAGGCCCCAGGGCAAGGCCAATCACCTTAGGGAAGAGTCAGACTGCACACCTGGGGTGAGAGAAAGGCTGAAATTACCTCCCCCTTCTAGCTTCTGAGCCAGGTCTTGCACCCATCTTCTCGACTCACCTGGACTCTAAGCAGGGCCTACACACAACCTGGACCTGGAATCTAGAACCTAGATCTGGTCTCTGCAAACCTAGAACCTAGACATGGCTCTGCAAACACCACTCTCTCCTACCTAGCTTACTGCTGTGTAGATACAGTGCTAGGCACTTAATATAGGTCTGTGGAATTGAATATCAAATATAAGACACAGGGCTCAGAACACATGACCTGTAAACCAGAGCTTAGAACTCATGGCCTGGAAACCAGGTGTTCAGTTCTTCGTATACTCCTAGGCTCCATGGAATCATGGGCCCTGGACGGGACAGCCTGGTAGCAGGAAGAAGGAGCTGCTGACCTTCTTTAGTATTGAACTGGTGGGAGGGGCAGGAAACTGGTGTTCAAATCCTCTCTGACACCCCTGCTTTCATGACCTCGGGGAAACAGACCTCTCTGATCCTCAGTTTCCTATCTGTAAAATGGGGCAAGTGATGTTTGCAGTCTGCCCTCCCCCCAAGACTTTTGGGAGGAAAGCACTCTGGAGATTGGGGGCTGTGGTTATCACTCTGATAAGATATCATGTCAAGCATGCTCAGCTGTCCGTGCTATGTGCTCTGTCATGGCCAGGGCTGGGCAGTTCAGGCATTTTTATTAATATGTCCAATACATTATCCATGTAATACACTTGTCTAGTGGGGCCTCCCACGGCTCCAGAACTGGCAGGTGGGGGCTGGGGGCTGGCCCTCTGAGTGGGGGAATCTGAACGTGCAGTTTGATGAATCAGTTTGTATTACGCACCCAGGCTGGCCTGCGTCTGTCAGGATTAATAGATATCTGCAGTGGCTGAAGTGAGCTGGGAGGGGGTAGAACACATCATGTGTATTTATCGAGGGGCTGATACCAGCTCTTATTTATCTCCTCCCCTCCCTTGGGCTTCCCTGTTCCCTCTGCCCCAGATCTAGGAGGCAGGGATATCCGCAAGTTAGTTCTATCAATGGGCACCCTGTGATGAGTATGGAAGAACTCACCTTTCAGCTCCCTAAAGGGGAGCAGGGCAGAGGGAAGGCTGGAAAGACAGAAGATACAGAGATACAGTGACAGTCTGAGAGATGGAGGGGTGGGGGAGGGCAGAGGCAGGCCTATAATTTCTACCTAGGATGACTTGTTAGCTCCTACTGGATCCAGCCGTCCAGTTATTCCCTTGGCTGCACATTGCCTATCCTGGTCCTCCTAGGGAGCCCTCCCGGAGGCAGGGGGAACCCAACTGAGACAGAGGCAGCATTAGTATGTAGAGCTTAGGGACCTGGATAGCCTAGGCTAAGATCCCCCAGCCTCTCTCCTCTTCTGGGGCCAGTGCCCTACAGAGAGAGGACAGGCCTATCCGTACCAGTGTCTTCCAGGAACACGATGCCATCTCCCTGCTGAAATTCCTATTGGGCTTCAGGCACCTTCATGAGGCCCTGGGATCATGAGCCAGGGTTGATAAAGCCTGAGCTGTGGTGAGGGAGAGAGGAAGGAAGGGAGGGAGCTGCTCTGGCAACCAGAAGCTGGAGAAGTAGGAGAGAAGGTACTGGGGGGGGGGGATTGGCAGAGCACTCAAGAACAGAGATGGAAAACTGAGACAGAGAGGGGCTATGAGGAGAGGGAAGAAAGACAGGAAGCCGGTAGCAGCAGAGAAGTTAGGAACCTGGAAGGCATGCCGGGAGAGTAGCTGGGGCTGCTAGGGGTGGGGGAAGCACTGTGTGTGCTGGGGGATCTGGGGAGGAGGGGAGGGAGGAGGAGGATGCGGAAGCCGAGGGGAGCCCTCTCCTCCGAAGATCAATTAGCATCAATTACCGACTTCATTTAATTGTCGTCGAAGATGAATTTGTCATTTTTAGCCTGGAATTAATAGGGCACCTTCACCTTTGCCGGCTAGGCGGCGGGCGGGGCGTCTGGGTGGGGATGGGGGCTCTGAGGGCCTGCCTGAAGCTAGGCAGGGCCCAGAGGAGCGTCCCCCTATCCAGCCATTCCTAGCCTCGGCCCCGCTCTCTTGCGCTCGAATACTCTTCGCCTAGCATCCTCACCAGTTCCCCTGGGCCCCGGCCACCCCCGCGGGCCCCCCGGCGCCTGTTTACCTTCCTTCTTCCGCGCACATACAGCGGGGCCCAGTGCGATTGTGTGTGTGTGTGTGTGTGTGTGTGTGAGTTGGGGGGGAATGCAGTGTGGCGGGGAGAGTCCGCGGGGGGGGGGCGGTGTTAGGCCGCCGCCGGGCTGGAATTGAATTGATAAGCACATCAGCGCCAGATAACGCCTGAAATAATGCACCGATAAGGAAATGCGATTGGATTTGCTGGCGAGCATCAGATTGGCCCCATCTGGGGCCGCCTGGAAGCGCCGTAAATTGCGCTGGGAAACCTTGTTTGTCCTTAAATATTCCTGTCGTTTCTCATTGCAGCCGACAGGGCCGCGGGCACACGGCAGGGGATTGGCCCGCTGCTGCGGGCCCGCGAAGGGAGTGGGGTGGATGGGTGGAT